GCGAGAGACTGGGTAGCAAATCTACGCACACATTGGCGAACTAAACCACAATGCACCTAAATGAATCATTTTGTTGGATTTTGACAAAAAAAATCGGCATACAGTAGCAGGCTTTGTCTTGGTGAGACATCTGGTATCTTTGTTTCCACAGCAATGAAGGTTGCTGCAATATGCTGCAATGCGATCATTTCCCCCCAATTTCAGCCTGGACACAGCACAATGCTTTGCAGATTCACCTTGCGTGGTCGGCTCACAGGTAAGGCCGAACACGGGCACAACGACGGGTTTGAAGGTTTTTTGGGAACATCAGTAGCAGCCCGGTTGAACATAAGTGAAATCAATGGCCGTAGAAAAACAGTGGGCCCAATTAAACTGGCAAGGATGGTCATATGCAATATACAGATTTATTGAAATTTGTTTTCCCCCTGCAAACATTGCCTGCTATCTCTCGTCAAAGTAAATCTTTGCAACCTTGTTTGGGCCCGCGCACCCAAAGCCAAAACTTCAAGTATCCACTTTTGAATATGTTTGGACTTGGAAGCTGACCCAAGTCAAACAGATGTCTACCATGGGAATCCTAGGCAAAGTAGGAATTCATAAGTTATATAATCCCATTCTGCCCAACCTTCCAAGCTAGGCCCCTAATTGCTTGGATGATACCAAAAGTGACTGGAACTCCCCCATTTAGCAATAGAATCAATTCACCTTCATTCCTTTCAATTCCATTATGGTCCAAGTATGTCCAAGCAAGTGGTCCACGACTTCAACCCTCCATTCACCCGCTCCCCCCATCCCTGTCGGTGTGTCCGCCATGACGGGGGGCGTGCCCAGCGGGTATGACCACACGGCGCCGATGCTGACGGAAGATGATCTGGTGAACGGATGCGTCATGGGACCCCATGGTGGCTCGGTGACTCCGACGGTGATATGACCACACCTATCAGCTAAAGAACATGCAGGTATGTCTAAATGGTCTAAATGGCACTTATAATTAGGAACATGAAAATTAGCAACCAATCTTTGTCAACCACACAGAGGAGATGGTCTGGGTCTAAGGGCTCTGGAAATTTTATGTGAAGGACAAACAATGTTGATGTTTCCTCAAGTCTGCCAAACCAATAACCTCCATGGTTGAAAAAACTTGCACATAACAGCACGAATTCATTATGGGTCAGCACCAGCTGGATGAAAAAGTTCACCTTGACCAGCAGAATTGAGCACCTGCGGGTCGGCGGGTCCTAAGGGCCCTCCTTAAGGGCCCTCCTAATGACGAAGTTGGCCTTTGTTTACAATTATGGGGGTTGTCTGATACAATATGGGGCTCCCCAGGTTTAAGTTGATTAAAAAGAACCATTGAATATGGTTCTATCTACCACGGGCCATAGTCTATTAACCAAGTTGTACACCAACTCGGCTAACTCAGCTATCCAGAGCGGCCCCACCTTGTACAGTAGTTATGATATTCCAGCGTTCTTGGGGATTATTATCATGGTTACATCCAGAAGAGTAAGCCATCAACTCCCCCAAAATCCCCGCTTGGTGAGGCTATGTGTACCGCCCACCTGTGCCCTCGAAGCAGCTGACTATCGAGATGCAGGTCTCAGTGACGGCCTGCAGAAGTTGGAGAGAGGTAGGGCAGGGGATGGGTTGGATGGGTATATTCAATGGGAGATCTTCAGGATCCTCAAATGGAGGTACTGTACCATATAAGGCCATATTTTCCGGGGATATTCCCTTACATAGGCCTAAAAAAAGGCCTTATATATGGTAGGTACCTCCATTTTAGGTTCCTGAAATGGCCATTGATATATGGTATGGAAAATTTGATGGATAAGGAAACCAACCAAAGAACCATGAAACAATGGCGGATTTGACGAGCCAAGTAAGGAGATAAGCAATGAATGGTGGATTTCTACGTTTGCTTCCAAAAATTCTGGCAATTTTAAAAAGTGAGAAAAGGGATTAACCATTGGAAACTTGCAAATATATCAAGCCAGCTTGTACAAACCGAAAAAGACATGTTGAAATAAATGGATGGGTTGGTCCAGATGTGGGATTTGCATGGATTTGCCACTGATTCATGGCAAGTTAAGAAATTGTAAAATACCGGTTTCAAGCCAACCACAAGTGTGGTTAAACCTGTCAAGATTGTGACTTTGAAATCAATCACGCGGATTTATATACTCGTTTGAAGATAAGATATTCTACTAATGAACATTGGATTTCTCTCCTGATCTCAAGAATTTGTGCACGATTCCCGCCAGTTTATAGGGACATAACGGGGACATGATACAACAGGGGTACGAAATATAATGCCATTATGATAATATTATTGGATACGATAGGATATTCTCGGATACATAGTGTGGGCTTCCGTCCAGTGATTGGCTATACCCCATGCAGCATTGCCATCAAATAAAGCGAGCATGAAGCATTAAACATTAAACCAAAGGATTTTTGGGTACTTTTTTTGGACACACCCAGTTGATATGATCAGGTACGGAATAGAACTGAATATGATCGGATATATTTACTTAACGGGATATAAAATGTTGGTTTCTGTCCAGAGATTGGCCATACTCAACGGGTAAAATATGTAACCAACAACGGCTTTTTGGAACCTAATTTCTCTTAGACACACCGAAGATCTTGGATGGTTGGGGCAGGGTTGCATGACCCTCCAAAAATATTGCATGGCCTTAGCTATCTATAGATATACAAAATTACTACGGCAGGCCATGAAAAGGGCATCGCTTGGTGCTATGGATGATAAGGGCCATCTAATCTCCCTGAGTGTTTTACTTGGCATGTATCCATTCTTGTGAAAAACATGTACATATGATACGGTATGTCTAGTGCATGAATAAATATATATACTTATCCATATATATATATCTTTTTGTATGTACGAGACAGTCTCTATATGATCGAAGGAAGTTTAGCTTAGAAGTCAAACTTCCGACAATATGGACAGATGAAAAGCAGAGCAGGGAAGAGGCAGAGAGAAGAGAACGATTAGAAGAAAGAAGAGTAGAAGAGAAAGAGTAAGAAGAAAGAAGATGCAGATGCGCGAAAAGGTAGGAAAGTCCCGAAAACTGTGTTTTTCCAATGATTTGTGGCTCCGGAGGGTCGAAAAGGTAGGCTCGCTAAAGCGGCGGGTGCGGAGCCATCTGGCCAGATGAGGGATGAAAAATTGCACGGCGTTGTGGCGTAAAGCACATTTGGAAGTCAAAATGTACAATGCACGCTACTTTCAGACCACTTTTGGAAGTTGAGATGTCGAAAAAGTGCACGCCGTTGTGGCGCGAAGCACATATCCAAGTCAGAATGCACAAAACACTTCAGTCGGAGCACTTTTGGAAGTTGACATGTCGAAAAAGCGTACGCCGTTGTGGCGCAAAGCACATTTCCAAGTTAAAACGTTAAAAACACCACATGTTCGGACCACTTTTGGACGTCCAGATGTCGTTTTGCGTGGCAGGGGCAAGGGATTGCGCGCCTGGTCAAAAGTAAGCAAAACGTGAGGGTTTTGTAGTAGGACATTTGAGGACGATCTGGAAAGATGTATTTCGCGTGGCAGGCGAAGTACAAGAGAAATGTTCATCAGATTTGATGTTGTCAAGTTCAATAATTGAAGAAGTCTGGCAGAAATACTGCGTTTTCAAGCTTACAGATAGACAGACAGACACAGACAGACAGACAGACAGAGAGACAGACAGACAAACAGACAGACAGATAGATAGATAGATACATAGACAATTACAACTACAACTGCAAATACCACTACACTACACTACTGCTACAACTACAAATGCAAATATACTACGCTACATTACACTACACTAATTACACTACACTACACTACACTAATTACATCTAGTTACACTACACAACACCAATTACACGAACAACAACAACAACAGCAACAGCAACAGCAACAGCAACAACAACAACAACACCAGCAACAACAACAACACCACCACCAACAACAACAACAACCACAACCACAACCACAACCACAACTACCACAACTACGTCAACTACCTCAACTATCACAACTACAGCTACAATTACAACTACACTGCACTACACTAGTTACACTGCAGCACACTACAACTACAAACACAACTGCAACTACAACCACACTACATTGCACAACACTACACTACACTGACTACATTGCATTACACTACAACTACAACTGCAGCTGAAACTACAACTACAACTACCACTACATTACACTACACTACACATACTACACTACACTACCCTACGCTTCGCTACGCTACGCCACACCACTACACTACACTACCTTAACTTACACTACGCTACACTACGCTACATTACACTACACTACACTGCACTACACTACACTACACGACACCACTACACTACACTACACTACGCTATTTACACTGCACTAGACTACACTACACTATACCACACTACACTACACTACACTGCACGACATTACACTGCACTACACTACACTAATTGCGCCAGACCACGACTACAACTGCAACTGCACTTGCAACTACACTAAGCACACTACATTACAGCTACAGCTCCACTACATTACGCTACACTGCAACTGCAACTACAACTACAACGACAACTGCACTACAGCACACTACATCTAGCAGTTGTGGTAAGGTGACCACTGCACCCATTGCAACCATTGCAAAAAACACAACTCCAACCACCTGTCGGTCCATCAGTGGATTCGCTTTGCCATCCGTGATTCACAACAACCAACCTCTCCTATAGGTTTCCTATTTTTGTTTCTTCCGCCACCGCCTTGTGCAGTACTACTGGCACTGCGTATATACACATATATATATATATGTATATATATGTGTGTGTATTTACATATATATATATGTATATATATATGTGTGTATATATATATGTAAATATATATATATATATATATGTATATCTGTGTAAATATATATGTATATATGTGTATATATATATATGTATATGTATATATGTGTATATATATATGTATATATATATATGTATATATATATATATGTATATATATATGTATGTATATATATATATATGTATATTTATATATATATATGCATTTGTATTTGTATGTTTTTACATTGATTTATTTACATTTACATACATGTATTTATATTTACATTTATTTACATATATATATATATATACAAATATATATACATTTATTTAAATACATATCTATAAGTATATATATGATGTATGCATGCAGCATGGTCGGGTTAAGGATACATTGGGGAAACCAAGTTGCAACCAGTACGGCCATGACGGGACCAGATTGTGGCTGTACACCCCAAACCCCGGCCTGTTAACACTTTCGGCCCATAACCATTTGATTACCGGCCTTGAGCTCGCTGTTGATTTGCAATGTGTTCAGCTTTTATTCCCCCCAATGGTACTCAATTGTGCATCCCAGTTGGTAGTTAGTAGGTAGCACTTGTTTTCTCATTCAATACATATATATATATGTACATCTTTGGGTGGTAATACCATGTATCCATACATACAGTATACATATGGGTTATTAAATGGCTGTCACCCACTTATTGGGATAAAGCATGCTCCCCATGGGAGGTGCTGGCAACAGTGGAGAACCTGGGAGATCTCTTCGATTTCCGGAATACCTCCACAGCTGTCCACCGCGTGGCTAAATTCAGCGCCACCTGGAGAGGTTATGGTGAGGGATCGAACATCATTTTTTCATGGGAACATGTCAGGACCATGCTGGGCGTATAGGGAGAGCCATGTTGAGCTAATGTTAAGCCAAGAACGACGTGTTCCTTTCAAAAATTTCAATTTTGAAGGTGTTATGCACTGGAAATTGGCTGCGGTAGGGTATCCGTTCCCCCTCGGTCTGGGTTTTCGTTTGTGAGCTAAGTAGCCAGTCAGAGAAATCGATAGAGCGGGACATGTTGCTTAAAAGACTAGAGATACGTAGCTGAACAAAAGAGTTTTAGGAAGGCGACCACTGGAGAACTCCAATTTTGAAGGTGTTCTGCGCAGGAAATTTGCTGCAGTAGGGTATCGATTCCCCCTCAGTCCGGTTTCTAGCCAGTTAAACAAATAGATGGAGAACAATATTTTGCTCGAGAGACTGAAGATACGTAAACCACCAACAGAGTTTCAGGATGTCTGCCTCAAAACTTTCTGTGCAGCTAGGGCTACGCTACAACTGGAGGATTTCAATGTTGAAGGTCAATGTGCTGTGCGCAGGGGTTTTCATTGTGAGAGCTGGCTTTCGTTCCCCCCTTTTCAGGTTTGCATTTCTATTGGCCAAGAACTTAGTTGCAAGTTGGTCCATGCACCTCTCCAAAATATCCATCAAATTTGACAACCAAATTTCATTAAGTGGGATAATTACAGTACAACCCTGATAACTATGGCTATATATCCATTCTGAGGGGTACAGTTGGCCCCCAAATATGACGTTTCCTCGTTCATTCCCCAATTGGGGCGATCAGCTTTATACTTGGGGAGATTCACCATTATGTCAAAATATCATTGTAGTGTTGCTCACATCACACGCAATCTTATTTAGATCCAAGTTGTGAAATTCGTCAGCCTTTGGTGCATACTTAAAAATGAAGAGAACCGAGAGTCCTAGAATTGGTTTAACACAGGACAACCTTATATTTATAGGTGTAGAAAAAAACAACGGTTTCCTGCACGTTGTTCCTCAAGACCATTTATCGACAAAGATTTCAATCCAATCCGTTTGGAGTTCTTGACATGGACCCAGTTTTGCGGCGGAGGTTGAGGCAGGCGAACAAAAGCTAGCGCTGGGGGATCAGCGTTTTCCGCGGTTGCTGCAGCTGCTGAGAGCCAAGTGCAAGGAGCAAACGGTGGAGGGTCCATTGGACTTGGATGTTAACCAACAAATCTGATGGTATCAGCTGAACCGAAAAAAAACGCAATACTTAGCCATGTATTGGGCGATCCTTAGTTCATAATTCGCCGCAACCACCAAACCTAATTCTTTGTTTCAACTGTTTGGTGGGGAACGGTATCCTGAAACGACATCTAAAACAAACATCCAAATAATACGTATGAAATTTGAAAACGGAAACTACCTGCAAAAGGCTCAGGTAAAGGTGTTGGGAACTAGCGTTGAGGTGTGGGCTGACTCTGCGGCCGCCACAAGGATTGCCAAACGTTTTTTGCCCGACTAAACTGTCAAAATAGTTGCTTAATTTAGTAACAGACGAATATATTGAATATACGTGTATTACTGACTATGAGTGGTGCTGAGTGTGCCGTGGTTGTAGCCTTTGTTCTCAAGGCAACCGTCTGTGGCTCCGCTAACCAACAGCGCTTCACATATGCAAGGTTCTCAAATGGTCCTTCTTCGCACCGGAGCTCAAGCAAACTGGTTGGCGACGAGTTGCATATATAGTTTTTTGTGCATGGCAGCTAAGATTTGTCAAGCTCAATACATGATAGGGCTATAGTCCAATGTCCGACGAAAGCCCAATTCTATTGTGTTCTGCGAAACTCTGAGCGTCAAAATCATGTATCTTCCAAGCGTGTTTGCTCCCACATGCAAAAGAAGATCATTGTAGGTAGGTGGGTGTTGAATGATTTCCACCCGATTTAACATTATTGGATGGATTTGGAAGGGTCCATTGAAACAGAAGATGTTGTAGATTGTGTTTCCCGTACATATTCAAGGTTTCCCAGTAAAAAAATGCATCCCAATTTTGATTGCTGGTTTCACCAGGACCTCTCTGCTTGGGGTTTGTCGGATGCATCATGGGGTTTAGCGCCTTGGTTCTGCGGTTGTGCGGGTGTGATGTGGGACCAAAACGGTGAACGTGTCAACGTGTCGTGCCACAAGGACGGAAATACACAAACCATGTGATTGTGGGTCATGATGTGTTTTTCATGTTTTGTTTTTTTTTCAGGACCCCACTAAAAGATCTTCAACGATGGGAATTTCCCCAACATGGCAGGTGAATGATCTAGATTATCCACTTGATTTGTTGCAGCCACAACTCAGAACACATTTGATCTGCGCGTGGGCCAATTCGCCTAGGTGTTTTGTTGAACATCAAGTGGCATGGACTGGATGACCTATTGGAATTTGATCACTACGAATTTCCACCAACCAAAATTAGAACACAAAGTGCAGATGCGCCTGTGTGAGAATTTCCATTATTGGATTTGTTGATGAATTTCATGTATTTGTTGGTGCCCCGATGATATCATCCATGAAATCTGAAAAAATGTGGTGCTATTTGCATATCAAATGGGATCAACGCAACATCGATCTCAGGTCATAGTATGAAAAAACATGCTATATAATATATATATATATAATTGTTTGCTGCTTTCCTTAGAATGGATTTTCCCAATGTAATCCACATGTAATCCACTTGTAATCCCTTGTGCATAATACATTCAATATATCCCGTTGTAGTTCGTTAATGTCCCATGATTACCCATGTTTTCTCATTCTATCCCAGTACGACAATAAGTATTTTCCAATGATTGTTCTGTGTTGGTCCAATTGTTATCCCCATTACACCCCACTAATATCAGATCACATCCTTTCATTATCCCAGTCCTATCCCACTATATATAATCATCATTGTCCCACTACTATTATTCCATTGTCATAATTGTTACCCAATTACTATCCCAGTCTGACCATTGTTTTCCGAAAAGTTAGATTCAATTATCATTTCATTGTTAACCTTGACCTTCCAAACACCATTGTTTGATTGGTTGCTGCTAGAACCACCATTGTCTTCGTAGGAAATTTACTCTACCATCAACTCAACCAGTATTTTGATGCTCTTGGAAGCCTAGGAATTTTGATAATTGTCCCATAAATCATATTATACCATTACTATCCACTTATATCACTTATTATCCCATTATTTATGCCAGTCTCATTTCATTGTTGTGCCTCTTGTGGCTGCTATGCCTGCATGCTTCAACCCCACGAGGCCAAGATGCAATGCCGCGACGAGGAAATCTTCCAACGTCTCTCCGCGCGAGCACAAGACATCGTTAAGGACGGCCGGGACCAGATTTGCATCGCAGGTGCAGTTGGGGTGAAAAAAATGGAAGAACCTGGAGTTATAAGTTGGTTTCCTGTAGAAACATGTAAAAACATTGTTGGGGTGATGATATCGTTGAGGTGAAAACGAGTAAACACATTGAAAACTGCAGTTGGTTGGCCTTTTCATTTTCTAGTAAAGGCTACTTAAATGGGCTATGAATGGCTGGGCAAGGTCTATTTATTGGGTATAACATGGTACAACTCAGGGAAGAACCATGGTAACAACCTCTCATAAATTGGGATGTATACGTATGGCCGCTAAAGTGGCACTGCACATAGGTGTGTCAGGGAGAACCTCCGAACGGAGTTATCGATGGGAAAGCCCATCCCTATTATTCTTGGTTTATCTCCCAATTTGAATATCAGTATTGGTAACAGTATTATTTATTAATGATGTGTTAATTAATAACCATTCAGAACGATTATTGACAACCATGATTGACAACCATTAATGACCACTAGTATTATTCCAAGCATATGCTCATGATTTCCCCCCACAGCGTGCGCAACAATTCATCCCAGCATTGGTTGAGATCAGTCTGGTAAGCCCAAAAAACTGAGTTCTAAAAGTAGAAGCATCCCCACAATTCTCAAACATCCGGCTGGAGGTTCTTAAAATGGAGGTGCTAAGAAGATGATACATACTCTATGTTTGCAGTATGTCAAGGAATATGAACCAATGTATTGGTGATTGATTCTCCTCAGAACTCAAAACTGTGGAACAGGCTTTTGTTATCACTCTAATTGAGTAGGTTTTTGTTATCACTCTAATTTCTTCATTGTCCCATGATTATTGGTCTATATATTTATCGAAGGAAGTTTCGAAGTCAGACTTCCGACAATATGGACAGATGGAAAAGCAGAGGTGGCAAGAGTCAGAGAAAGAGAAAGAGTCAGAAGAAAGAAAATGCAGGTGCGCGAAAAGATCTGGCCAGATGAGAGATGAAAAGTTGCACGCCGTTGTGGCGTGAAGCACATTTGAAAGTCAAAATGCACAAAGCACACCATGTTCGGACCATTTTTGGAAGTTGTGATGTCGAAAAAGTGCACGTCGTTGCGGCGCGAAGCACATTTCGAAGTCAAAAGTGTAAACAACTGACGGGTTCAGAACACTTCTGGAAGTTGAGATGTTGAAAAAGTGCATGCCATTGTGGCACGAAGCACATTTCGAAGTCAAAAGTGTAAAAAACTGACGGGTTCGGAGCACTTTTGGAAGTTGAGATGTTGAAAAAGTGTACGCAATTGTGGCGCAAAGCACATTTCGAAGTCAAAAGTGTAAAAAAATTGACGGGTTCGGAGCACTTTTGGACGTTCAAATGTCGTTTTCCGTGGCAGGCGCAAGGGATTATGCACGTGGAAGATGATTTTCCGTGACAGGTGCAGCACTGTATGACCTAGCATAATTTTTTCGTGGCTGGCGCAGTACTCTAGACGGGTGGAGTGGAAAAATCGCAAAACGTATTGGTACGAGGCCGTCAGCTCTGCACCCACTTTTCCTTTTTTTGAAGGAAGTCTCGCAGAATTGCTTCGTTTTTTGATGTTGTCAACTTGAAGAACTGAGGAAGTCTCGCAGAATTGTTTCGTTTTTGATGTTGTCATGAGGAAGTCTCGCGGAATTGCTGCGTTTTTGATGTTGTCAAGTTCTCGCAGAATAGCTTCGTCTTCAAACTTGCAGATAGATAGATAGATAGATAGATAGATTGAAAAACAGAAAGACAAATAGATAAACAGATATATGGATAGACACATAGATAGACAACTGCAACTGCACTACACTACAACTTCAACTACAACTACACTACAGCTACAGCTTCAACTACACTTCAACTACAAGAACTGCAGCTACAACCATAACTACAACTTCAACTACAACTACAACTTCAACTACAATTACTACAACTACAATTACAAGTGCCACTGCAACTACGAGTACAACTGCAACTGCAACAGCTACTACAACTACACTACAAGTGCAACTGCAACTACAGCTGCAACTACAACTACAACTTCAGCTACACTACACCTACACTTCAACTACACCTTCAACTTCAGCTTCAACTACATTACTGCAACAACAATTACCACGATACTACACTACAACTACAAATACGACTGCACTACAAGTACAAGTACAACTACAGCTACAACTCCTACAGCTATTGCAACTACAACAATTACTGCAACTAAGACAACTACAATTTCAACTGCCCTTCAACTACAACTACGACTGTGCCTACAACTACAACCACAACTACAACTACAACATTACAACTTCAGCAACATCAACCCCACTACAACTACAACTGCAACTACTGCACTACACCAAACTACATCCAGGAATTGTGAGTGAGGTGGCCGCTGTACCCATTGCAACCGCTCCAAAAAAAACAGCTCCAACCACCTTTCGGTCCATCAGTGGATTCGCTCTGCCATCCATGCATCACAACACCTCACCGCTCCTGTAGTGTCCTATCTTTGAAATTTCCGCCACCGCCTTGTTCGGTACTACTGGTATAATTAGATATAATCCGATCCCATCAGTTTGCTATATATATGTATATAAATATAATACACATAGATCTCACCATGATCCCATTATCGGTGAAAACCATCCCACCTATCCAGGACTTGGACGCTCAAGGCCTAGCAATTGTGGCTTGGTCCTTCGCCACCGTAGCCCGGAAGGACGCCCAGAGGGTAAATCCCAAGTGTTATTGATGAAAATTCATTGATGTCCCAAATGTTTGGCGTGTATAGAACAGATACTTACTGTAAATCATATCAAATCATATCAAATCATATTAAATCATATTAAATCATATTAAATCATATTATATAGATCATATTAAACCCCAACTTCATAGGACAACATCCCAAACAGGCACCAAACGTTCGACGCCAGGACGAGCCGTTGCTCAGTTTGATCGCTCAAGAGGCGCGCAAGAAACTTGCGACGCGGCGGCATGTGGTTTCAGCTGTAAAGCATGGGGGGTAAGACATCAAGAATAGCAGAGAATTCGTGGTATATAATATAGTTTACTAACAGTGTAATACTCAAACATGGCGGGCTGGAACAAATTCCTACTCATAGATGTTTTCCCACTAACACCTCCAATAGATTTTCCAACCAGCCATGCCTGATTACCGAGCCTTGCTGTGGACAAAGGTTTAGTCGGGTTTTCTTTTCGTTGAGTCACTCCGTTAGGGAGCTCATAATTGAACCAAAAGGAAAGATGGTTCCATGATTGAAGTGGGAGCAACCATCTGGACCTCAAGAAACAGGATCATTAGAAAAATCACTGCACATGCCCACGGCTATTAGGAATATGACACTGGCAGATTCACGGGTCATGTTTCAACGCTCGACGAGGTGATTGCTGGACTTGATTGGCCCCACAAGCAGTTCATCCGTGAAACTGAGGACACATTTGGCGTTCAAAACATCTCCAACCTGCTCTGGGCGAATGCTACATTAGGCTGCCAGAAACCAGCGGCATCCTGAAACCCTACCACTGAGATGGGTATCTGTCTATGTGATTGTCTTATGGTGAAACCATGAAGGAACCCTTCTGACTCCTTCTGCAGATATGAATAGGCGTGACACTGCATCACAGCCTTTCAAAGACTCAGATGCGACTGAAATCACAAAGACAAATCGCAGTAAATGAGTTCAAATGCAATTGAACTTTCACAGACTCTCTTAGAAGCTAAGTCCTGAACGCCTTTTCGCTCGTGTGTACTTACTTGGAGCGGTCAGCAACATTCGGCAAGAAGTCTGCACTCTCGTTGTTCATGGAGGGATAAGGGGATCTATCCTTCGCACGTTGCGTTTGAATACCAAAGTTTGTGTCATATGGGTCAGATTACTGGCCCCCAAACAAATGGATGGTTTAACATCTAAAACATTCCCAAGTGCTCAGCGAAACCATGTTTGACCCATACCCAGGTGTACTATGACCATGTTTACTAGACATTGTAGATATTTGTGTATGGGTCAACATTACACATGACCCACCCAAAATGATACACATGATACAAACTGGACATTTTAGTATCAAAAATGACACATAAGCCACCCAAAATGGATGAGTTGATAATAAAAGCGACATTTTTTGAGGTCCATTGGGGCCCCAATGACTTGACCCTCAGACTTCTCGATGATGGTAGATGGAGAGCCTTCAGCCTGTACCCAACAAGAAACTAGACGTACATGTTCAGTGACAATACCAATTTTGGGCCTAGTCACACGCCAATTTACCACAATCTCTTTTGGATTTACAACAATCTCTTGTTTAAACATGTTTTTTTCCCGAGTTCAATCCCAATTTTCAGATTAGATCACGGTTTAGATCACCACTGGAATTCAGATTCTCACTCAGATTCTTTGGATTTTCGTGATTTTTCGAATTTTCCCTGGTTGAATCACCAACATTCAGTTTTTTCATCTCCGTGATGTCGAATCATGGCAGGCATGCGTTCCGATGCGTTGCACGCAGATCTTCTCCGGGAGTGCTTGGTGCGACTCGACGAGTTCACCACACAGGAACTGGCCATTGCCACTGGATCTACAGCGATCGGATCCAAGTGGGGCCTGGGGTATCCACATACTAGTGATATAAATAATACAATGGGATTAATAGTGATTCAATGGGATTTTATAGTGATTCAATGGAATATTAATATTACATATACCATCAGGTTATGACTATCATAGCCATGGAAAATCCCTGATCAATGGAGGTTTATAGCTGGGAAAATCATCTATAAATGGGCAATTTTCCATAGCTATGTTGAATAACCAAAGATTACCACCGCAATATATATATATTAAAATCCATATTTAAATATTGCAATATTATAAACATTTATAAACTTAATGTAATATGTGTCTATATACTGTGTGTATGTATATGAGTAACCGACAAAATTAGCGGAAAACTAGAGTAGTGGGGAGTGGACATGGCATGTTTAAATTTGTGCGAAAGAATTCACAACCGATAGGGGACCACCCACTTACCGATACCCTATCTTTGTACATGGCACAGAAGCACAAACCTTCACAACCGCTAGGGGACCACTCACTTTGGCCATGTCCACTGCGGGAAGTAAGTAATTTTGTCCGCCACTCATATGTATGTATCTATATATATATAATTGTATATATGGGTGTTTATTTTGTAGTGGATGCAGCGTTTGAAAGGAACAGAAGTAGAGGCACCTCGAATCACACCCCCGAATCATACTCCATGAAATGCTTTCTTTTTGTAGCATACACGGCCCTATATTTACAGCAACCGGCTAAAACAGATTGCCTCTCCCATTTCTGGCATCTCTTATCTCTGCTAGGCAATCACTTGTACTGTATCTCAGTGCTGCCCCTATTGTTTTGTGTTGGCTTGTGGTGTGCTTGCATTACCTTGTACTGGCGCGCACACACAATTTATGGTCAGGGCCCAAGAGCAGGGGTAAATGGTCTCGCTGGGCATCCCACCATGTGTACACACATGCATATTTGTATGATATATATATATATACAGCAAGTGCCAATGAGAAAGTTCAGCTTCAAAACGCAGCAAATTCGTTACATACTTTAGCTTCGAAATGGAACAAATAGCAAGGGAAAATCCGCAAGGTTCTTCAAATGTATTTTTGATCCAAAATGCAGCATTTGTTTATCCTCTTTTGTTTGATTCACCGTACGAATGGCACAACCTCTGCCCTCTCTACATTTAGTTTCCTTCTGTTTATTTTGATGGTTAGTTTTTTTTTGTGACCCTGTAGACTACTTGTTGGTGATCCTTCTCCCGGTTCAAGGGTCGGTTTTTTTTTGCTCGTTCGCTGTGGCCACCAAGGTGAATTGGGCCTTTACCAAGCCTGGTATCCCAGATGCCACGGCAAATCGGAGATGGACGGATGGGAGATGAGTGAACGGGAAGTCCTCGTGGGATATGTTATGTGTCTTATGAAAACCATATTTACCCACCTGAATTTGGCAAAACATCCCGGTGGTTCCACATCAAAACCACAATCGAAAAAAGTGGATGCACCCATGCACGCAGCAGCTGCCTGGGGTCACATATATACATATACACATACATATACATATGCATATACACATATATATATATATAGATATATATAGTCGAACCATGGTTGAAATCGATTCAAAACAGTTTCATGTTTGTCTTGGTGGCCCTGGTACTGTAGTTGGTTAGGTATTCTCACAATCTCGAAATCGGGACCCGTTCAATGTAGTTTAAGAACGGAATGGTCATCAATGAACTGCTGTTTGCAAATCCCTGTTTGTTGTGAAGTTACTTGGACGGTCATCCCAGCAATTTGAGTGATTCTCAGTTCGGGCAAATTGGTTCATTTCAAAATGTCCCGTGCAGTCATAGTTGCCAAACCGAATTGTTTGATTGGTCGCAAAATTGTGGAATCATAGTTTCCAACTGCTTTGAGGATCTTTAATTCACTTTTCATTTTTCTGCAACTCATATCAAATGAGGATGCAGCTGGGGCTAACCCCTCCCCGAATCGGTTGAAGGGAACATTGCCATATTTTTTTTTGGTGGTAAAGTTTTTGTGACATTCCACGGCTGCCGGTGAACAAACACTCTAAAATTTCAACACTTCATAACAATTCCAATAACCAATTTGGATACTGAACAAATCACCTCAAATTATCTTAAATCATTTTCGCATATTTGCAGGCAACATTAAGGACATGTAATCACCTTCACTAACCTTTAACGATCTTAAATAAGCAATCTCAAGTCATCTTGAATCATCCACCCCAAATCTTGATCACTCCCTCCGTTCTCACCTGCAGGTTAGCTTACCCAGTAGGGGACGAATGGAAGGCAGCAGTGCGTTCCCGCGTCTTGAGACTCAAGGAGATCCCTGGTTTGATGGAAAAACAATGAGAAATGGTGAAATTATTGGGGCGTTTACCATGACTTCGAGATATAGTAGGGATATATAACAGGGATATACTTCCAGACGGGTGGGTAATTGAACGTGGCGGCGTTGCATTTTTGATGTTTGTGGATTCTGTGTTGCGTTTTTCAATGGATTTCATGTTTTTTCGTCACGTTTGCGTATCATTTCCATTGGTTTTCCTGGCTATTTTCTGTGCACAAGCCAATTAAACTCTGACGTTTTATCCGCGCAAGACAACTCTATTTCTGGGGGGTCATGTTACAAAGTGACAGTGGGGCCATGGTTTTGGCACATCAAGGCGGTCCCGTCTTCTTTTTGGCAGAGCCGGTGACACCAGTTTGGTTACATCTGTGCCAAGCTCTTCCCAGTCAGAGACATGAGGAAATTTCCGTGTTTGGAAGAGAACGTGCCAGCAGCGTAGCATGACGTATGTGTGGAAGTGCAAGAGAACGTGGTAGCAGCGTGGCATGAACGTTATTACCTCACCCCATCCCTCTCGTAAAAATAGTGACAACTACACGTTCGGTCGTCCACCCGTAGGCATACGTATACTTGGAAGTTATGTTCCCATTGTGAAGACAACATTTGATTGGAAATAGTGAAAATGGGTATAGTATTCCCATTGTGGTCGGTCATATCATGTCGGTTTTGTGTATCTAGTGGTTTGTTGTTATTTTAATGGCTATCACTGTTATGTGAGGTCAAAACCACCAACTTGCTTGCACAGGCCAAAACCTGCACCCCCTCACAAAAAACAACACAAAATCCCAGCAATTAGTTAGGAATCTGGACCCCATAGATTGGAAAATTGCGTTTTTGCTCGTATTTTTTGGTGTTCGTGCAAGTTCTGTGCATCTAGTCAAACTAAAAACTAAAGTATGTTTTTTCTCTTTGGGTATCTGTCAGTGTTTTGCGAATGTCACGAAAAGACCGAAGCGCAAACTTCGCGTTTTCGTCCTTCAGTTCCAAACATCATTCCCCACGGTCCCCCAGTCTCAAAAGGTCCATCATCCTTAACATTGCCATTTGACATGTTGGCAATATGAGCCATGTGATTCAAACCAATTAATGGTATAGAAATTGTCATCTCAATTCATTACTCAAACTGAATGCATTTAAATTGCCCTGATTTGCCGCAGATTTGTACCGCTTCAATGCCTCAAAATATATCATCATTTCATGTTGATTGAGTGGATTAAAAGTAATTATAACCCATTATAACCCATTATAATGATTATAAGTATAACCCCATTATAACCCATTATATACCAACTCTTAGAGGGATAAAACATGATAAGGCCCCACCAATTGTAGCCACTTGGCTTACTCCATGGCCAGGAGTACGCCCCCTCCGAGCTGTCCATGTTAGCCTGGGCGTTGGCCACCCGCGGGGACTACGACCCGGACCTCCTGGCGTACCTGGCGCGGCGCTCCATGGAACTCATGCGGAGCTTCACGGGGCAGAACCTGGCCACCATTATTTGGGCGACTGGGATTGAAGGGTGGGGGATGGAGGGGTGTATGATTTCTTTTTGTATATCATAGATACTTACATGTAAATAATATGTATAATTATGTATATATATATATACATAATATATAATATATAATATAATATAATATATATATATATCATATTTCCTGTATTTAGATTTAAATCCACATGTCTGTGCATGTTTGAAAGTGTATACCGCAGACAATCATTAAGATAGCTTATCTTTGAACCAAGGGTGGGAAGATGTGGGTGGCTGGTTTTGGGAGTGGTTAGTTCACCGTGATTTTGAGGCTGAAGCGACCAACAGCAACATTCTGACAATAAACTCGTGCAACTGGGACCAATGTTCAGGTTTAAGCGGTTGAAAGAAGCTGGACCACTGTAAAGCATCCTCGTTGGGATAGACAGGCGACGGTTTATCTAGGACCAACCTTGTGTTGACCACAGGCGATCTCCAACATTCAACAGGATTCAAATTTCTGGAGATTCTCTCCACTTGAGTGTGGAATATCCCATAGAATATCCGATAGAATATCAGGAGGTGTAGCTTCCAACAAATCTGGCTGGACATTTCGTCACCAGGCCATTGCAACGATCAGCTACAAGGCTGGGTCGCCGGAGGGGGTCTGCTGGACTTGGTTATTACCCTCTGGTTATGACTAACATAGCCATGGGAAATGACCCATTTATAGAGGTTTACCTATTAAAATGACCCATTTATAGAGGTTTACCTATTAAAAATGGTGATTTTCCATGGCCATGTTAGTCATAACCAGATGGTACATTGTATATCCCAACCATGGCACGACTGTGAGGTACCAGCCCGCCGCTGATCAAATGCGGATAGTATGTTTAGTGATCAAACATCATTGAACGTTCAACATCAGGTTTCACCATGATTGAGCTTCAGAACTACCAACGGGGTATCAGAATTATATGTAGCAACCCTCAAAAAGATACTTTAGACTTTAGATATCTTAAAACTATAATCAGCCACACTTCACAAGATTTGGAACCTGTTCTGAATCTTTCTTGGTGTCCCTTTCTTACATGTCGCTTCTTTCCATCGATCGTCACAGGATGATCCTTCCATCGACGAGTTCCTTCGCATGTCCCTGGGCGCCATCATCGCGCGGTCCAACGAGTTTCAGCCTCTGAACATTGCGACGCGACGACGTGAGGGATAGCCATGGGAGCCATGGGGATTGGGCCCGGTGTCATCAAACATGGCTAGAAAACCATCGAAGTAAATGGCTGGCTCGGACATGCCGTAAAAATCAAGACCTTTGATGGGATAATCATCTATAAATGGAGGATTTTCCTGCAAGCCATGTTTTATTACTGGAGGGTAATTACTCTGGGAAGATGGGGCTAGGGTCATTTACCAATCTGGTGGATATCAGATTCTTTGGGATAAAGAAAAATCCACTATAGCCTTCCAAGTACTTGATGTTTTGGCCTTCCCAGAAAGATAAATGAAGTGAAACTACAGCATCATCAGACTAGGGATTGATTTTTGCTGATTATGATTCCAGTATCTCTTTAAGCTTTCATGCACAATTTCCAGTATTTCTCATGTCATCCTTGCTCATGGCACTCAACTTGGTTTGGGCTCATCGCAAGTTGCTCATGACAGAAGTGGATGAAGGCTGCAATCTTGGCAGGTTTTCCCGATATTTCGCTGGTAGACCAGGATGTCTTGTATAGATGTTCTCAAAAAATCCCAAGCGAATGTTGGTGAATGCCCCATGTTTCGCGATTGTTTATTTTGAACATCACGAAAATGGTATACCATGAGGCTAGGTATTTGCTGTCCAGCCATCACCGGCAAGATGCAGTAAGGGTAACTGCGGTTGCCGAATCTTGGATAGAAAATGATGCCGGACAAAGGAAGATATGGGAACTCAGGTGATGGGAATAGAATTCTATGGCCATATGGGAATTCCTCAGGGAATTCTATACTCAGCCATACCCCATGGTTCCATGGTTCCAGGTTCCTATGAAAATTCTGTGGAACCCAGGCCTTGATCTCCTGGGGTTTGGCCAAGTTGTCCTTCAAGGCTGAAGCCGCCTTCGAAGCCATGTGTGACGCCTGGCGTGGGAAGCGGGCCTGGGAACCGGGTAGAACGACGTGGATAGGTACATTGCAGTTGGTATCAGTTGGTATCAGTTGGTAATTTAACATAGCTATTGAAAATGGCCATTTATAGTGGATTTACCCATGAAAAATGGTGGTTTCCATAGACTATGGTTGTAAGTTGTAAGACCGGTTGAGTTCACCCTCCAGTGGTAAACCTTCAAACAGGATAGGTTCATCTGTGGGATGTTTTGCCCGAAACGGGGAAGATACTGTCATGAGTTACATGATTTATTCATATTTATCATGGCTTGAATACCATCTGTTGTTTGTTTCCGGAGGGCATCATCGCAGTTTTTGCAGGCTACCCTCTGGTAAACATACACAAAGCTATTGAAAATGACCATAGAAATAGTGACTTAGTGGATTTACCCATTGATAACATGGTGATTTTCCCATCAGTTTTTGGTTAACCTTTACCATGTCGGGTAGAAAAAATGACCGCCATGCATCGCTCGCTGACTGAGGACTCTGCAGTGCAGCAGATCGATTCCTTCGTCCCTCAGAATTTGGTGCAGCTGATGTGGGCCTGCGGCACTGCAGGCGACGAGCGACCCATCTGGGGGCCTTCAAGGGAGGACAAATTCCAGAGAAATGATGATTAAATGGGAAGTCATGTCTAGGATGGCCGGAAAAGAAACTTCAATGAGAATCTGTGACTTGGGATTTCTGTATGAATCCAGATGGATGTTGAAACTATCCTAAGTAGAACTACTGCACCTAGAATGACAACCCTGGATTAGACCTGTGGTTGATCAACACACCCAACCCTTTCCAGGAGTCATGTGTCACTCGTGGAGGTACTCTTCCAATTAATCAATCCGGGTTGAATATTCCAGAGTTGACATGATGGGGGAAGGAAACTATCTGTGTGTTTTGCTACATGAGGTAGAACATGATATTCCTGTAGGAGTTGTTTGGAAAATAGCAACCCCTTGCTGTTGCTGTAAAAGGCGCATGGTCGTTGGTTCTGTGACAACCTGATGAAACACAGAAACACTGTAATGTCAAGCCCAGATGAGTAAACCATGGTTTATTAATTAGGGGGGTACTCCTCCAATAGTCATTTCATCTAATACTTAAATGGTACCCTCTCAATCCAGCGTTGACATTTCTTCCTTCCCCATCAATGCTGGTTTCATGTTTGTTCAATCCTTACAGTATTTGGGATGAAAGATTGATATCTTCCATTGGTATGAAATTGTTGATATCCTACCATGATGAAATCCATACAATTTGCAGTATTTGGTATGAGAATCCATGGTATGATATCTTCAAATCACCGCTATTTCGGATATACCCTGGATTGTAGCCGCCGTAGCTCTACAGCCACGAAAATCGACGGGTTTTTCTTCGGAGAAATCAGATGGGTTTAGCTCACCAAAAACTCGCGGGTGATCCAACAATTCACGGGGGCTAGTCCAAGAATATAGCACCAGAAGACAAAAAATTGCAATTTTGGGGTATACCGGTATACCGCACATTTGTTGTTGTTAATCCCCACATAAATCTCCATCAGTGTCATGCCCACAGGCTACCGCCATGAGACCTTTTTGCGTGCAGCCGCTCGTGTAGCGAAGCGCACCATTGACCAGCTTCTTCGGTTCTGATTTGCAGCAAAAGATATGGGCTTATTTTCAGCATTTACCATCCAATTCTTGGGGTATCCAATGTTGAACCCACACCTATGTGTTTAATTGGTTGATTATAGAACGAACGTTCCCCGAATGAGATTAAAGAGAAAACTAGATACATGCCTCGATGGCCAATAGTGGATACGGATGGAAATAGGGGGGTGAAACCTGCTCACTGCTGTTGTTAAGCGGAAAACGACGGATGGATGTGAAAAATCATCACTTCTCAAGACTGGCCTGGTGTAGAGTGCGTTCGTCAGCTCCGCATAAATAAACCCCTACACGGTTTAATCAAGGGGGGAACAATAATTGCTACTTGGATAATTAGTTAAATGGGGTTATAAGGGGAATATGATGGGAATGTAATACAACTAATTAACAATGATCAAGACTCTAAATAGAATTGCGACAAAATAAGGATACGATTTGGATAGCTTACAACGACCTCGCTGCCACGTCTCTGCAAATGATGGTTTAGTAGGGGGGATTATCCAAAAATGGCTGAACTGTCTAGATTATCCAGATTGCTCATGATAATTTATCCTAATAACATCCAATAACTATTTATCATTTGGTTGGTGGTTTCAAATATGTTTATGTTCAACCATTCAACCATATTTGGGACGCTGATACCCAATGACTCGTTAATATTCTTCGGATGGGTTGAAACCACTGGACCAGTTCATCAATTCAAGGGCGCCCCCAGTTATGTCGGTTTATGTGTCCCAATCGAACCAGTTCGATATATCTACGGCCTTAGTTACCATCTGGTAAATTAACTTGTTGACCATGAAAATAGCCTAGTTTTAATGGAAACGATTCTTCCAACCCCGATGACTGCCAGGGTCTATCTTAATTTACCAGAGGGTAAACCACTTTTAACCAACTTAGCTGAGTGTGGGCCTCTTCCTTTATGGTTCCGGGGTTCTAAACGCCACGAGGTTCTCCTCTCAACATCAATCGAACTTCCTCTGGGCCTGTGCTAGGCGCGGCAGCTGACATGCTGGGGATTGTGATGGTCACACAATGGGCGAAAAAATAGACCAGATAAGGATTAATCAATAACTGGTTGGTGGTTTGGAACATTTTTTATTTTCCATCATAGATGGGATAATCCTTCCCATTGACTAATATTTTTCAAGATGGTCAGAACCACCAACCAGATAAGGATTGTAGTGTCAGTATCTCATGAACTTTCATGGAGGAATCCCTTTGGTCGGAGCCATGACTTCACACATTAGCTGATTTCTGTCGACAGCATCTACACATTTTCAGGAAGTTGGAAAAATGATCTCGGGCCACTACTGGAGGATGCAATGAACAATATAGGGAGAAAGCCAGCAACCATGATTGGCAGCTGGGGGGTCCATTCTTCAAGCCGTTTGCAGAGCAGAATACCGCAATATATGAGGGTTTCCGATACCCCCAAGATTATTTTTGTATTGAAATTCATAATTTTTGGAGATCCCCTATTTCCAAAAACATCCCACCGTATGGGTTGAAAAAACCTCACCATAAACCAATGACCCTCACCGGGATGCTGCAGCATAGCGCCAGGCTGAACTTCAAAGAGGATGTGGAGTTGCTTCGTGTCGTCGCCGCGGCGGCGCAAAGGCGGGTGGTCGGCGGGTGGTTTTTTTGATTGGGTACCCTCTGGTAGTTTAACATAACTATGGAAAATCACCATTTTTTATGGGTAAACCCACTATAAATGGCCAGTTTCATCCATTTTCAATAGCTATGTTAGTTTACCAGAGGGTAAACATGGAAGACCAATGTGGGAAATACCACTGGTTTACATCAAAAAAAATGATCCATAACTGGGTGGATTTTCTATCATCTACGGTCTACGTTTGTTGTCTTGGGGAAATGATGGCTACTCAACCAAGACCTTAATCATCCTTAAACAACATATTTTGGGTGGTCTTACTGATGAGTCAATTTGGATGGGGGTTGTTTTGCCATGTTTTGCCATGTTTTGAGGATGCGATCATCTGGAATTTGTACATCCAGTAGGAAAAAATGGTTGGTTTCCGTGTCTGTGTTGGTGTGGAGAGGGGATGTCTCAAGGAAATATATGGGGAGGGTGACCCAAAAAAGAAATGAGTAGTGCAATCAGTCTCGCGAACTGGAGTTTCCAGTTCCTCGGCACAGTCTATGGCCAAACATCAGGTACATGGGTTGGTCTGAAAATAGTGTATACCCCATTCGAAATAATTTCACTGGTTTATCATCATAATGGAATGGACATAACTGAGGGGGTGTACATCCATGTCCACAGGAAGATGCACGAAGGCAGTCCACAACATCTCTCCAACATCGCATGGGTCACTGGGTGTCGAGGGGTCAGGGCAGGTCACTGAGCCAAACACGGCAGTTTTGCTCAATGGGAAATTTATTCAATATCACAAGGTGAGGCCCCCCAGTTATAAATTGGGTTGTCATATTGTAAACCCAATAACTATACGTAGTTCTATACGCTAGTTAACCAAGTTTTAAGTCAACTCAACTTTCGTTTGGGGGCCCTCACCTTCCACTGCAATATGAATATCCCTGGTGTGAACCTGCTGCAAAGAAATGAATTTTACACATCCCAAGGTACAAATTGCAATACAAGTCGCACTCCATGTGCCACGGTCAAGACTTGAATTCTATACCAACATTGGGGGAAGGTCATCAACCCATGAAAAATGGAATTCGATTTTTATATACCCTCTGGTAAACTAACATCACTATGGAAAATCACCATTTTTAATGTAAAAATACACTGTAAATGGCAATTTTCAATTGCAAACTGTTAGTTTACCAGAGGGTAATTTCACTGGTTTATCATCATAATCCATCTGGTTATTTATTACCATCTGGTTATTCAACATAGCCATGGAAAATCCCTTATAAATGGAGGTATTAATAGAAACATAATCTATTTCTATGGGCCATGGCTTCCATGGCTATGTTAGTCATAACCAGAGGGTGTATATACTGTACATACCCATTGCCAGGATTCCCAACATGGGAAGACCACAAGCTATGTCTTGAGCATGGCATTTGTCAAAGTTTTTCACGATCCTTCCAGTCATTGCAGTTCCCCAATGAAATCCAAAGAATGTCGTGCAATGACTTGAAGCATCATTCAAAAAATTGACAAGAATAACGCTACCTTTCATGTGTTTGACGTCTAACGCTACGTATTTTCATCGCTTTAATAGAACGTCGCGTTAGACGTCCAACGATGGGGGAATCACCAACCACCTATTTTTCGCCCTACGGCCAAGTTGGCATGACATCTACCATCCACAAGCTGGCTTTGTTTGAAAGCAGGGCGCTCACAACTGCAAAGGATTATATACTGTATGACATGTGTTTTCCCTTTGGGCTTTGTTGACTTATGTCTCCATTATGGTTGGTTTCATACTGCCATTCACATGAAAATGATCCCAATGCTTAGTTAGGGTTTTTACACTCCCATTTGATAGTTTCAAATGCCAGTTTGAAGTGGTCAAATCCCCATATCTTTTGCGCATAAATTCTGGGTCTGCACCAGCCACAATGTCAATGGGAATTCCAGGATCCTAAAATGGCGGTACTGTACCATATAAGGCCATATTTTGGGGGGATATCCCCTTACATAGCCCTTATATAGGCCTTATATATGGTAGGTACCTCCATTTTAGAATCTTGAAATTTCCATTGACAATATATCCATTGTGGCCGGTTACATCCCGATGAAATTCCCGCTTTCACTTGGTCCCCGGTGACAGATCATCCCCAGTTTCTCAGGCAGCAAGTCAACTGGGCCCTCAACATTTTCAGGCCTGGGGGTTGGACATCAGAAAACATCAGAAAACTACCTACGATATGGGAGAACTGGACGGATTAGGACCAAATACTTAAGTGCATATATACAGAATGGGCTGATGCATTGCTGCCGCCGACCCTGGTTCTTGGTAACCGAGAGAGGCTGAAACACAAGAACAAAGCAGAAGGTCGGCCCAGGAAGTCACAAAGAGCTCCACGCAAGCACTGCTTGAGCAAGAATACCTTTCTTGGGCAAGAAGGAACGAAAAACCAGCAACAAACCAATTACTTTCTTCGAGTGATCCCCACTGTGGCAGATATTCTCAAATATATCCTTGCGATTGATGCCTTTCCAGGACTGTTTGTACGCCGTGGTTAGCGAAACCTCTCGGCGCATCGCGGAGTTTGCCGCTCGGCGAGTTAGGGGCAAGTCAAAGGTTTAGTTTTTCTCCATGCGAAAGAACCACAATGAAATCTGATCTATTTCATTGTGAGTGTGGTTAAAAAAGGTAGCGGATGTACAAGTTCAAGTTGTATCAAGCCGCATGATTAATATATCTGGTTGGTGGTTAGGGTTATTTTTCCATCATAATGATGGTGAATGATGGTTAATGATGGGTAATAATCACTGATGTGGTAAACGGTGTTTTCAAAACTTCTCCCCCCAACAGTCGCAGTGTGATCGCACCGGGCCAAGAACTGCTGCAGTCGTCGTCGTCCTCATCCTTGTGGTTGGTGATTTGCCATAGATACAGTCCCTATTTACATATAGTCCCATGTATATTCCCATATATTACCACAACGTATTTCAAATCCTTCTCATGTTCCATCCCTTCTTGAGATGATTATCCTGGTTGACACATGTACAATGGTCCAATCGTTGGTAAACTGCCAAGATATTGGGAGATGGTCATCAATCCATTGCATTTTAAGTTTAAGGATTCCCATTGCATGGGATGACAATGTTTGGGTACATATTCCATGACATCTTCATGATTGTTGGTTTTGTCTGCATTGTCTGCATATTCTCATGAATTCCCCTGCGTTTTGACATGTTTTGACCAGTTGCCAAAAAGCAAAAAAAAAAAAACGTGGCGCCGTTGAAGCCAGACCTGGATCCTCTCCGAATTCTACCCGTTTTCGAGGGTGGTGTAATGTGGTATCCCAAGTCTTATTGGGAATCTAGATACGATCCAGATACCAAGTATTGCTGTTTGCATCCAGGCTTTTTGTTTGTTTACATGGCCCTCGATGTGTATTGCTTTACGATGGTTACAGGCCCTCATTACGAATGTTGGTATGCTTGGATGTGCAGCTCAGTCAGTTTGTACCTTAACATTTCATAATCATAACAGTATATCCAGGCTGTATAGGGCATACCATGGCATACCCCAGTTATAATAGTTATATATGTTATATGTTGATTATAAGCCACTTACTAAATGAGATGCACCCACACGTGGTCACCACCCCCGATTTTTCTGTTCTGCACTGGTGACGCCTTCAGGACCCTCCGTCCATCATGCGACTCGGCCAGTGCTGTCCCAAATTCCCATGGGTTGGTTGAGAAAAATCGAGGGGTTGGGTTGGAAACCCCTGAAAAGCAACAGGTTTCTATGATGATAGATGATGATAGATGGGATTCACCTACCAGCTCCCGGCCCAAACCTACCTATTTTTACCAAAAGGACATGAGCATTGATCAGAACCCTTGATGATTTCGATTATAAGCAGAACTTATCGGATTTTGAACCATGAAGACTACGGGGATACGACTGATAAATGATGATTGATTGATTATCATATGGGGTCATAACACCTGTTTTTATTGATGTGTGGTGTGGATTCTGATGTGACCCATTATGAGAATGCTTACATCATTTGGTTCTGAACACGCTTCACGGGTGAAAACAAGCGCATGATTTTGATAAACCATGTGCTGTTAGGGGTACCCTAGGTTTGGGCAAACCATTCAAACCATGGCAAAGCAGGTTCCAAGTTGTTGAACACGCCCGGCGTCCCCCATTTAAAGGTATCCTAAAAAGTACCTGGTTGTTGGGTTTGCTGTGAACGGGTTGCAATCCTAATGTTCAACTTACTTTGAACCACCAAGGAGCTCCATATTTGTATGGTTCAAAGTTATTCTAAATCCATCATTTGACAGGTACCCTCCGGTAATTTAACATAGCTATTGAAAATGACCATTTATAGTGGATTTACCGATTTACCCATTAAAAATGGTGATTTTCCATAGTTATGTTTTATTTCAAACCTTAGTCTCTTAAATTTGGATTCCTGTAGATTTCATATGTCCAGGGAAAGAACTATGGAAAGAACTATGTAGCAATCCATGGAAATAAGGGGTGTTTCCACACCCAATGAAGAAACCCACCACTTTGAAAGAAAAACGCATTGCTCCAAGTTCTTGGACAAAAAACCTTTCAACATCAAGTTAGATGTTACATACAAACTTCGTATTTGAAAATATTGGTCCGTAAGTTGGAAAGGAAAACAGTATACAACAATATACAACATCTGTGTAATTCGGGGCCCCATAATTCTTCAAAAAGGAGAACACCAAAGAATGCATGTGCGCAAGCTCCAACTAGAAAAAAGAACTCATAAAAACAATATTACGGTGTGACCCTGTATACTGTAAAATTGGTTAACTAGTGCATTGATGAGTGTATGTATGGCTGTGTGCTCATGTGCATGGATGAACTGCAAATGCAAATCCACAGTTTTTAAGTATTGTTTTCGGTGCTGCGAAGACCACGGTAAAACTTAGGTAAAACATGGTGAAACAAATTTATAAACTGCAAACGGAATCCTACGTATTTGTAGCAGATCAAAGATGTGTTACTGTATTTCTGTCGCTACGCTGTTGTGCATTGGTCCGTAGCAGCGTTGCAGTAACAGATTACAATCATTATAAATATGTCATAAATTTTATCCAAATACAACGCTTAAACTTCATTGTTGCGTTTTATACAAACAAACCCCGTCGATATACTTCCAAACTTTCAAACATACACGAACAAACAAGAACATATAATTCATCTAAAAACTCAAACAGTCTTATATAAATCATAAATACAAAGCAAGTAAAGTAAGGCAAACATCAAAAATATACTTATAAAGTTAAACAGTTGAAGTCAAATCGAGAAGTAAAGTCAAAGTTATGTTACAAGTTAAAGGTTCTAAGTTTTAGTTATAAGTTGTAAGTTCAAAGTTAAAAGGTTACACAGTTATAAGTTACACAGTTTTTAGTGTCAAGTCATAACTAGAAGCTCTAAGTTGTAAATTAACAGTTATAACAATGTGTTTCAATTTTAAAACAGTTCCTAAACCTTATAAATTGATTTATTGAAGTTTGATAGTCAAGAGTTATGGATTATGAGTTGTATTTTACAAAGTAGCTATAAGCTACCAGTGTGTATATTTGGTTTTATCAAGTTATATACAAGTATAAAAGTAAGTTAACATACAAGCCATTATTTGGGGTTTGCAGAACGGTTCGGAACGGTTCCGGAGATTTCCCCAGAACGGTTCGGAACGGTTCCGGATACTTCCAAAACCTCAGAACTATTTAGAACTATTTAGAACGGTTCCGGAACGGTTCCAGATTCAAAGCCTATAGACCCCAGAACGGTTCGGAACGGTTCCGGAGACCTCCATATAATAGCATATGTTAACTTGTATAATAGCATATTTTGACTATAAGATTATTTAACTTTAATACATAGAGTTTGAACAAATAAACACATACTAGTACCATAAGCAATGATGATTCGACACAAGCGATACTTTCAAACGGATATTTCAATACAAACTACACAGTTGTATGATTTTGTTAGAACAGATTCCACAGAACAGTTTTCAAGACAGGTAAGATTTTGAAAGGGGCCACGCCTTCCATGAACAAACAGCTGAGAAACTTCCAGCCTTTTGTAGCTACATCCAGTTTCACCTTCTCCCTTGTGCTCAGCATGCCTTTGCACTGCCTGTTCAAAGACTTAGGCGGAGAAGTTGCCTTCCCTTTGTCGTTTTTCTGACTCCTTTCTCTTGTAGCCTTGGCCCTTGGAGCAGTGCGGCTCTTTGGAAGGTTTTGAAAATGCGAAACAGGAGGAACTGCTCTTGACCGTTTTTTGGGGGGGTTTGGAAGCTGTGGAGAAATATCTCCGTGCAAAGTTGATGTCTGCAGAACCGTTCCGAACCGTTCCGGAGGTCTGCAGAACCGTTCCGAACCGTTCTGGAGACCTCTGCGCTAAGAAAAGTGTCACGTAAATGGGTTCTCTGTGCCAAGAATCCCGGGAATAGGAAGGCACGGACAAGGTTGAGCAATTCCGGATGCATTAGTCCCAACCTGAAAGTGACCCATCATCACCCTCAAGAACCCCACCGCTAGCGCTATATATATATATATATTCTTTCTGAAAAGTATCAAATCATGGTCCAAGAAATTATCGGCAGCTATATACAATATAGTTTGTTTCTTGTATGGGTAGTAGCACGGTAGTAGCAACAGTCTTGCCAGAGTGACAAAATACCAACAATATAGCCTGGATGTTGCACTGCTACCGCTACTGCATATTTTTGATCCAGTCCAGAACTGGTGGGGAAAAAGGACAGCAATGGGAATGCAGCCAACAACCAGCATTGCCTTTGTTCTTTTTTTGAAAAGGGAAGTCACATAATCCCAACAGCCTGAACACATTGCAGAAGCCAGCTCAGCGCGCCCAAACACACATGGACTGCCTTCCAAATAATTGAAATTACATATTGATAGAATTCGACTTCAGCGCCTGTTCCTTCCACCTAAGTATTTCTCCAATTGCGCTTAAACCGCCTGAATCTTCCCTCAAACAAATGCAGCATCATAAATTAAACCCACTATCTGTATGCGGGTTGTGTATTTATTCAAGGTTTCAAGTATTCGGGGCAAGGTTGTTAAGTAATCAAAGCTGAATTTAGCCCAGTCTCACACTAGAAAATTAATTAGCTGCAAATAGAATTCCACTTCGGCGTTTGTTTCTGTCGCCTGAGTATGTCTCCCATCTTGAAGAAAAAGCAAACCATATTTTCACCCAAATGCCAGCCCCAGACTAGAATTTGGAATGCATAATCTACTTAAGCGCACATAGAATTCTACTTAGGCGTCAAATGGTGACGCCTAAGCAAAATTATGTTTGCGCCTAAGTAGATTATGGATTATGTTTTCCAACAGCCCCAGACTAGATTTCCTATTTGCGCATAAGTAGATTATGAATATAAATTATGTCTTCCAACAGCCCCAGACTAGAATTTGGAAGACATGGTCTAATAAGGCGCAAATAGTAATAGAACTCTACTTAGGCGTCAGTTCGTGACGCCTAAGCAGAATTCTTTTTGCGCCCAAGTAGATTATGAATTTTGTCTTCCAACAGTTCCAGACTAGAATTTGGAATGCATAATCTATCTGGCGCAAATAGAATTCTACTTAGGCGTCAGTTCGTGACGCCTAAGTAGAATTTTATTTGCACCTAAGATTACCTCAGTAGATTTAGTCTTCAAAAGAAAGACCGAAACATAAGTTCACCCCAATCTCACAATCAGAATTTTATATCTATAGACTGTGGATCAGATAGGTATAAAGTATCCATGGCAAGTTTTTGTTATTAGCAAAACTGAATTCATCACCGGTCCACAATACAAATTCAATTTAGGTCAAGTACTTCACGACTTTGAGTGCAAACCCAGATTGACGAATCTGGATGTGTCCTCGCTGTGTGCATTGTTTTGTTTCTTTACTTCTTCAAAAGCTTGCTAATTTTCCCTTGACATGGTTTCTAAACATCACCTTCTATAAGATATCCTTATTGCCCTGGTTTCTTCCATAGTCCCTTCCATAGTTCCTCCATGGTCCACAGGGCCCACAGGTTAAGAGGCTAAAATTTGAAATAAGTTATGTTAGTTTACCAGAGGGTAAATACCAAAATTCACCATCCCGACTGGTATCTTCCTTTTGCAACTGAGGATGTTGAGCGATTCGCTGTACGAGGCGAAATTCAACCATGGTGGTGAGATCATGCAGGTGGGAGAAACGGAGAGAAACGGATGGATCAAAACCTGTAAAAGGTACTGGGATTCAATGAGGCTGAATGGGATTTAACCAACAGAAATGGATACACATGCTGATTTTATGGTGAGTTAATTGGGTTTAAACCTTTGAAACACAATGACATACCATATTTTTGTGTGAATTGTTTAACGCCCATTTACCAGGCTCGGAATTAGCACTTGGGCTTATATGATGGGGATTGTAATTATTACCAATTCCCCCTTCTACCACCAGCATGGTCAGTTTCTGGCCAGCAATGTTAGCAGTGGGGGTGTAAAAACAACCAGTAATAGCAATAGATCTATAGTTAGATGGTGGTATAAAACCAGCTAGTTGCAAAAGCCAAATGACGCTGAAACCTGAAGCATTTCCCAGAGAAATCCATGGATTTCCGTCTGTTCACTGGAGATTGACTACCCATCAGTTCTCGGTTGAAATGGTTAAAGAATTCAGCTGGTTTGACTTCACACTATGCCTGTGATAAAAAAAAGTGACATTATTGGTTTTAGATCCCATGATCCTCTCTTTTTGTTTGTACCCCATTTCTCCAGGCTACGTACTGTACTTTACCGCAGAGAAATTGAATTATCAATTGATCATCCATCACTTATCCGTTCATTGATTCTCCAATTCTCCATCAATTCTCCATCAACTCTCCTTGCCATAAATCCTCCATAAATCGGTTGTATTATTTGACTTGAGACAAGGCACCAGCACCAGGCTCCACCGCAACTGCAGGTGCTGCGGGGTCAGGTGCAACGCATGGGCAACGAGCTGTTCTTTGGTGCAAGATGGTTCTGGGGGGTTGGACAGAATGTACACCCAGATGTTCCAGATGTTCCATTCAAAATAGTGACTTAAATAGTTGGCATTGGGATATTAAGAATGTATAAATTATATGTGAATTAACATAGTTATATATGTAAGGTATATTTGTATGTACGTATGTATATATGATTATATATACGGTATATACGTGTTGTATTATAAGTGTACATCTATGCGCATAGATGTATAAAACAAAATGAATGAAAGATAAATAATGTCAACCCACCTGAAGATGTCAAGGACATTGTTTCTCAGCATATATCTCATGGACCGTGTTCCTACCTCTAAAGGGGTTTGTTTCCAAAATAGATGGCCCCTAGATCTTACCTTAATCATCTCATTGGTGGTTTGGAACATTTTTAAACATGTTTCCATATATATTGGGAATAAATGTTTCTCCAATTTGACGAACTCCATCATTTTTCAGAGGGGTTGGTAGGTCAACCACCAAGCAGTGCTCGCAATGTTCCCATGAAATGATCCATCCTCCCATTGAGTTATAGGATTCATATAGGATTCATGTCCATAAATCCCAAATGTCAATGGCCCACTACCCCATTGTAATGCTGCCATTCTATCATTCTACCCTCGTTTATCGCTGATAGTCTCACCACCACAGATGTCACCGAGCCGTCGCCCAAGGTTCGACCTCTTCACCAACGGTCTGCCACGGCCGAGGGGTCGCGGATCGCAACAGGAGTTGACCGAGTACCAACGAAGGCTGCGGAAGGTGGGACTCACCACCTTTGGCACCTCGGCAGAAGGTCCTTGGGTCCCGAAAATCACATTGAACAAGTCACCAACTGATGGGGTTAATGGGTATATGGGTTTTGTTTACCTTGGGATATGAAATGTTCATTGGGAAGAAAGGGATACAAATGAGGGATGTTCCAACCTATCGTAGCAAAATGCTTTTGGTGGAAAAAGGGTGGTTCTACCTCATCAAATCTAACTTTAGTCAGTTTACTCCGTAGCAACCCTGCTGAAGGTACCTCAAGAGTAAACACGCCCAGCAAAAACGGTTTAATAAGCCCCATTCATCGAAGGAAGTTTAGAAGTCAAACTTCCGACAATATGGACAGATGAAAAGCAGAGCAGGGCAGAGGCAGAGAGAAGAGGAAGATTAGAAGAGAGAAGATCAGAAGAGAAAGAGTAAGAAGAAAGAAGATGCAGATGCGCGAAAAGGTAGGAAAGTCGCGAAACACTGTGTTTTTCCAATGATTTGTGGCTCCGGAGGGTCGAAAAGTAGGCTTGCTAAAGCGGCGGGTGCGGAGCCAGCTGGCCAGACGAGAGATGAAAAATTGCACGCCGTTGTGGCGCGAAGCACATTTCCAAGTCAAAATGTACAAAACACACCAGTCGGACCACTTTTGGAAGTTGAGATGTCAAAAAAGTGCACGCCGTTGTGGCGCGAAGCACATTTCCAAGTCAAAATGTACAAAAACACCAGGGGTTCGGAGCACTTTTGGAAGTTGAGATGTCGAAAAAGTGCACGCCGTTGTGGCGCGAAGCACATTTCCAAGTCAAAATGTACAAAACACACCAGGTCCGGACCACTTTTGGAAGTTGTGATGTCGAAAAAGTGCACGCCGTTGTGGCGCGAAGCACATTTTGAAGTCAAAAGTGTTAAAAACTGACGGTCTCGGACCACTTTTGGAGGTTCAGATGTCGAAAAAGTGTCGAAAAAGTGCACGCCGTTGTGGCGCGAAGCACATTTCGAAGTCAAAAGTGTAAAAAACTGAGGGTTTTGAGCCTTTTTTGACGTGAAGATGTCGAAAAAGTAGACACTGATTAACTTAACTAACTTGACTAACTTAACTAACTTCACTAACTTAACTACCCTAACCTCGACGACAACAGCAACAGCAACAGCAACAACAACAACACCAACCACAACAACTACAACTACAACAACAATAGATCGATAGATGGAGAGATAGATAGGTAGATAGATAGATAGATAGATAGATAAATAGATAGATAGATAGATAGACAGACAGATAGATAGATAGATAGTCAGACAGGTAGACAGCTAGACAGATAGACAGATGAAAGAGAGAGAGAGAGAGAGATAGGTAGATAGGTAGATAGGTAGATAGGTAATTAGATGAAAGAGAGAAAGAGAGAGATAGAAAGATCGATAGATAGATAGATACATAGAAGACAGGCTGGTAGGTAAGTAGATAGTCAGAGAAAGAGAGAGAGAGAAAGAGAGGAGACCTCAAGCACCTTTCGGTCCATCAGTGGCTTCGCTCTGCCATCCCTCATTTACAACAACCAAGCTCTCCTATAGGTTTCCTATTTTTGAAACTTCCGCCACCGCCTTGTGCGGTACTACTGGTAGTGGTTTACACGAAGTAATGCAATAACAAAGACAATACAGTAAATTACTGAAGCAGAAACCCTGTGTTTTTCCACATTTCCCACTTCGTAGATGTGGTCATGCCAATTTGGCAATTCGACTGCGCGCCCAAAACAGCATCTGCATGATAAAAATGTAGAACATGTGGAAAATACTGGCCCCATTTACCATAAATATTGATGCCACATGTTCTCATACAACTGCGGCAATTCGATAGAAAAGACATATTTCCCAACATCACTTACAACATAATTCCTAACATAACTGCTGGCCGTACGTCAGAGTGGAACAGAAAGGCCCCTTTTGAGAGGCTAAGTGTTCAATTAATAAATATATATATATATATTTACATATACATATATATATATAGATAGACACAAATATATGTTTATATCATACATATACATGTATATATCATAATTTGTGTGACTCAAATCATGAAAATCCCTCCATCAAGGCTATGAACACACCACCTCGCTCTTCGAGCAGTTGCAGCTGGCCGAGGGCCTTCCATGGCAGATCACCGAGGCCATGGCCATGCCAGGCGCCAACCAGGGGAACTCCAACCAGGGCAAAATGGTGGTTTAATGGGATTTAATGGGATATGAATGGGATTTACCCTCTGGTAAACTAACGTAGCTATGGAAAATCACCATTTTTAATGGGTAAATCAACTATAAATGGCCATTTTCAATAGCAAACTGTTAGTTTACCAGAGGGTAAGTATGGAGAAACATGTCAAAAACATGGAGAAAGATGGGAAAAAATCTAGAAAAATATGAGAAACTTATGGAAAGATATGGAGAAATTTGGGAAAATAGGGGAAACATATCGAAATTTGTGGAAGAATGCGAATTCTATACCATGAAAAATTGGAATGTAGGTAACGGAAAATGAGGACACAATGCGGATATGATGGCAACTGAACTGGGAAAAACGGTGGAATGTGAGAAATGGTGATATGTTATGGGGAGTTCATGGGTTTCCTTAGAAAAAAGTAATGGGGATAGAACCAACCCGAAATGGGGATACAACGGGGGTCTAACAGAATATGATTATATTCATTTGGTTTGGGTTGAAAGCTACCATAGATAGTGGATTTATGAAACATTGGGATTTCATGTTGGAAAACGAAGATAAAACTGGGATATAATGGTACCGCAATAAAACCAATAACATCCAATTGGGTGTGTCCGAATAATAACAGTTTTAATGAGGAAAATGATTACAAAATATTGGCTTTGGGGGCAGCCCTATGTTTAGACAAACCCAAATATGGACACAATGAGCAGTGAAAAAAAAAACAGCCGGCGGCGCCGGGGGCGAAAATCCCCTCCGGGTGACGTACTGGTGGGTCAGTTCATATTCCCCCAATAACCCAGGTAGTACCCTCTGGTAATTTGACATAACTATGGAAAATCACAATCTTTCATGGGAAAATTCACTATAAATGGTGATTTTCAATAGCTATGTTAAATTACCAGAGGGTAGAACCCCCTGTAATAACCAATCAACCAGGTTGGACCACAAATGCGCGGCGCACCACGGTGGCACGGCGCTACGCGCTGCGGGTTGGCTCCAGAAATATCGAGGAGCATCGCCGGAATCGGGCGATTTGGTAACAACCAAGGCACTAATGAACCAAATATGGGGATGGGTCAAGACTACAATAGATGTTAGGTCTATACCATTATATACCTATATGGGTATGGACCGGTATGGATCAATACCTATAAGTACCGTTTTTAGGGGGATGAACATCCATTTACCAGCTATTTTGATGTGAACTACAGGGGTACAAGGTTTTGACACACTGCCATATATATATATAGAAATGTTATGTGTGGATATACACAGTTGTCTTCCATGTGTGATGATTAAGTATTATGTTTGATGGTAAAATGAGGATGAGCTAAATCCTTTACCATTTTTTCGGGGGTGAACATGCATAAGTCCAAGCTATTTTGGTGTGTTTGCCAGGGTTTTGACCCACAGCCATACAATGACCCCCATATGGGTCGCAAAAATGGGCTGGTATGACGAACCAAACATGGATATACTGATATACTTGGGATATGGTAGGGATTTCACCAACAAATACAAAAATATAACGAATCATATTTACCACGACTGTGAAAATGGTGTCTTTTTGCATCTTTTTGGTGGTAGCGAAAACGTGTTTGTGTGACACACGTTTTTTGTTATTTGGCATATTTGGCAATGTTTTGCTTTGTTTATCAAATATGCCAAATAACAATAGATAATTATTGATCCATAAATATCCATATTGGCATATTTGGCATATGATTATTGATCCATATTTGGCAATGTTATGGATCAAAAACTAATCAAATAAACATCACCCCAAAACAGGGGCCTGCGTGCAACTGAGCACGGCATGGATGTGAGGGGCCCCTGGTTGGGCAGAAAATTATCGGCTTTTCGTTGTGAAAAAAATGAAATTACTTTACTTCGTGTGATCCCCACCATGACATTTATACATTTTCTTACTGGCAAATCTTCTGGCATTCTATCTGACATATCTTCTGACAATCTATTTGGCATTCTATCTGGCATATCTTCTGGCATATGTTCTGGCATATCTTCTGGCATATCTTCTGGTTCTATCTGGCATTCTATTTGGCATTCTATCTGGCATATCTTCTGGCATTCTATCTGACATATCTTCTGACATTCTATTTGGCATTCTATCTGGCATATCTTCTGGCATATCTTCTGGCATTCTATCTGACATATCTTCTGACATATCTTCTGGCATTCTATCTGGCAAATCTTCTGGCATTCTATCTGGCATATCTTCTGGCATTCTATCTGACATATCTTCTGGCATTCTATCTGGCATTCTATCTGGCATATCTTCTGGCATATCTTCTGGCATATCTTCTGGCATATCTTCTGGCATTCTATCTGGCAAATCTTCTGGCATTCTATTTGGCATTCTCTATCTGGCATATCTTCTGGCATATCTTCTGACATTCTTTCTGACATTCTTTCTAACTTTCTTCTGCACATTCTTTGTCCCATATCTTCCTACATGAGGTCCGGCAGGGAACACTGGGCGCGGATGGTCGCGGTTGAGGTCCGGCAGGGAACACTGGGCGCGGATGGTCGTGGTTGAGGTCCGGCAGGGAACACTGGGTGCGGATGGTCGTGGTTGAGGTCCGGCAGGGAACACTGGGCGCGGATGGTCGTGGTTGAGGTCCGGCAGGGAACACTGGGCGCGGATGGTCGTGGTTGAGGTTCGGCAGGGAACACTGGGCGTGGATGGTCGTGGTTGAGGTCCGGCAGGGAACACTGGGCGTGGGTGGTCGTGGTTGAGGTCCGGCAGAGAACACTGTGGATCGCGGATCGCAGTTGAGCAAGGACGACGAGGACGACGAGGACGACGAGGAGGAGGAGGACGAGGCAGGAGGAGGCGGAGGAGGAGGAGCAGGAGGAGGAGGAGGAGCAGGAGGAGAAGGAGGAGGAGGAGGCAACTGACATAAAATCTAACAACCCTCACCTGGCAGGTGGGGAATGAAGAACCCACATGGGAAGATTTACCAAATACACACGGGGTTTTTATGCACGGGTCGATAGGAACTGGCTGGATGAATATCTCAACATACAGAACCCCCCAGTTTGAAACTGATTCCCAATCTAACTAATCCAACTATTATAGATAGATAGATCTACATAGGTATATATTTAGGTATAGATATAAATATATCTACCATAACCCCTAACTAACCTACGTGTATCAATCAACTTAGCTAAGTAGGGCGGGGCCTTTCTGCAGGCTATGCTGTTCATTTTTGCGAGGGTTTGGCCCCATTCCGATGTGCTGTTCTTCACGGGAGATAGGGGAAATATCGGATGCTGAGATGGATCTACAATGTGGTGCCCCATAGTTATAAGTTGGTTTATAAGCCCCATTAACTATAGTTATATCTACCATAAACCATAGTTATTGGAGTTATAAACCAACTTAACTAACGAACTGGGGCACCACCTTGTATGGGAAAGTATATGGAATTCTTTGAGTGCCCAAAATGGAGACAGTACGGGACAGTGACTCGAATCATCGGATGATGAAAATCTCTGGCAGTCATTAGCAGCTCGCCCCATTTTCAACAAGCAATATTCTCACAGGACATCCAACCGGTGATTTTATTGGAACCTTGCGCTACAATCGAACGGTTGTCACATGCTCGTGTTGCAGGCTGCAATTTGTTGCATGCACAAGGAAAAACATCAGAAAAAAGTCTCACAACCCTCACCTGAAAAGGATGGAAAAATCCCACAAACTATCCCCATTTTACATCCAGGAATTTCGGCACATGTCCCATGTTTTCCATCATTATACCCTCTGGTAATTTAACATAGCTATTGAAAATGGTGATTTATAGTGGATTTTCCTATTGAAAATGGTGATTTTCCATAGCTATGTTAGTTTACCAGAGGGTACCCATGTTCTATGGGTGCATCAAATTTGCGGCGGGCATTCATCCCACGATTTCCACGTTGCCAGGATCCCGGCACCATCTTCACCAGCGCCTTTGCTTCGGCCGCCGAAGACAATACCGCTGACTTCATCGTCATTTGGCGCGAAGACAGCGTCCTTTTTTAAAGGGAAGGAGTTTGGGACAACAAGTGCCTGATTTTTTTGTTTATGTTGTGTGACTATTGATGATGGTTTGCTAATGATGGCTCATGAATATTGATGATGGTTTATCCTAGTTGATGTTGATTTATCGTGTTTTGGGTTGGTCTATCGTGGTTTACGTTGGTTTATTATGGGTTACGTTGGTTAATGATGGTTTTTGGTGGTTCATCATGGTTTTTGATGGTTCATGATGTTTTTGATCGTGTGCGTTGGTTTATGTTGGCTTGTGATGATTTTTTGATGGCATGTGATGGTGTATGTTGGTTTCTGTTGGTTTATGATGCATGATGGTTTACGTTGGCTTATGATGGTTTACGATGGTTTGTGATGGTTTATATGATGGTATTTCATGTTTAGGAGATGATTTGTGATTGTTTATGACGGTTTTTGTTGGTTTATATGCTTCATGTCTTATGACGGTTTTGGCTTTTTGGCGATGATTTATGAAGGTGTTCGATGATATTTGATGATATATGCTACGATGATATGCTTGGCGGATTCACCTTGTGACATTCCCAGTGTTGGGAGCGGGTCGCATGACATTCCCGTTTTGAGGGTAGGTCAATTCCTTTAGCACCATTTTCGGAGATATTACTGTAATGTTTACATCCATATGGGTAACCGGCAAAAATAGCCGAAGACTAAAGTAGTAGGACGTGGACTTGAGATGTTCAAATTTGTGTGAAAACCTCCACAACCGATAGGGGACCAGCCACTTTGACCATGTCCATTGCGAGTAGTTTACTTCCAAGGTTTACATCCATAAGTACCAGCACAGCTTGGTCAATATGTTCCGAAACTGAGGATATAAGTGGAGAATACCATAGGTTATACCATAAATTCAGGGAGGTGGAACACCTAGGAAACCCAAAGGAAAATGATCTACTTCTATGGTTGGGTTTTCCATATCCATTTGTTTACTCATGGTTTTCCAGGTATCAACCCAACGATCAGCTGTTTGCAAAATTACAAACCCGCTACTGTATTTGCCCCCCACTTCGCAAGTAGGTAATTCTACGCCAGATTCAAGAAATGGAATATCCCCAGTTAGATTAGCGGTGTACTTTAGACTTTGATTTTTCTGGCTTGTATACAAGAAAAAATGTCCGCAAAAAGGATGTGCGGAAGACCAGCTGCGCGTTGAACAAAAGATCTCTTGACATCCCTGTCGCGTGACATCGCTTTCTTTTGCTCTCTCTTGCTCTTGACATCTCTTTCCTTCTCGTCCCTTTGTCTTGACACTCTTGCTCTTTGGCATCTCTTTTCCTTGACATCTCCTTCTCATGCCGGCTCTTATTCATGACATCTCTTTCCATTGAACTCCCTTTCTCTGGACATCTCTTTTGTTTGGCAGCTCTTTAACGAATCATGGTTTGTCTAATCATTTCTGTCTCTTAGCATCTTTTAGTCTCTGTTGGCCATGGCAGAGGAGGCCTGGAAAAAGGTGGCCTGGAAAAAGGCTGGGAAAAGGCCAGCAGGCTGGTCAGGACAGTGACCTGAAACAAGGCCAGGAAGATGCCCAGCATAGTGCCTTGCAACAAGGCCAAGAGGGTGCGAGAGCCAGTGGCCTGGAACAAGGCCAAGAGGGTGCGAGAGCCAGTGGCCTGGAACAAGGCCAAGAGGGCGCGAGAGCCAGTGGCCTGGAACAAGGCCAAGAGGGTGCGAGAGCCAGTGGCCTGGAACAAGGCCAAGACGGCGCGAGAGCTGGAACAAGGCCAAGAGGGTGCGAGAGCCAGTGGCCTGGAACAAGGCCAAGAGAGCCAGTGGCCTGGAACAAGGCCAAGAGGGTGCGAGAGCCAGTGGCCTGGAACAAGGCCAAGACGGCGCGAGAGCTGGAACAATGCCAAGAGGGCGCGAGAGCCAGTGGCCTGGAACAAGGCCAAGGGGGTGCGAGAGCCAGTGACCTGGAACAGGCCAAGAGGGCGCGAGAGCCAGTGTCCGGGAACAAGGCCAAGAGTTGTGAGACATTGGTTTTGGTGATTCTGAAAATCTGTGTCACGGAAGTTTCGCATCTACATGAATTTCCTTTTGTGAGGCTGAGTTTGTTCAGGGTTTGCCCTGCAATACCCTAATTTTTGCCTATGCCTAAACTGCGTCGTCCCAACCTGCGGTTGGATTTTCCATAACCGGTTGTTTACCCAATTATTTACGTATTGTTTCCCATTATATGAAGAGTTTTTAAACCAGCAATTGGGGATATCTATGGTTGGCTTAACTTGTTGGAAGGCAACCCGGATTGCTCACCAGTTGCCGTACGTGGGGGGTTCATCCCGCCTGGTACGTGGGTAGTAAAACATTACAACATGTTGTAGTTATATAAGACCCGTGGTTCATATCAATGAATCAATGAAAGATCATGTAAATTTGTTTACCTTGAAAACAATTAGAAATTGAAACTTGGGATTCAGTTATTTATTGAACATCTATTCCCAAATCCCATGTAGTAAACATATCATGTCCACTAAAGGTTATCCCCAGTTGGGTTAATGGTTTGGATGGGCTGAAGACGGTGAATTATAAGCCGCTAAATGGATTTTCAGATTGATTGGTTTACATTAAACCGTTGACTTCATTAATTTGGTTTAGATTGTTACAATGGGTTAATGGATTCTATGATAAACGACTTAAAGTTCTTGGGCCCAGCACATCCCAAGTATTACACCCACTCCCACCGCAGCAGGTTGTCTGGCTGGGCCAGGGCAAAGCAGATTCGCCCAGCACTGGTCGCGCAGGGCGCAGCGGCGATGCAGAGTGCCTAGGATGCGTTGCGTGTGACTGAAAAAAATTGGTATAAAACCATCAAAAAAATGTGATCTACTTTTTAAAAATGTGGCTGACATATATGATATGTAGCCATCAACATCATATGTGTGTCTCTGCAAAATGCAACCTAAATGTGGAAAATCTTAAGTAAACAATAATTTTTGAAATGCTGAATTTTAAGACGAAACCATGATGGAGTGTTGACTAGCTTCGCTGTAGGTTTTACATCCAGATTCGCATTTCATGGTGAAAATTGAAGTCGGACGACAAAAAAACGTAGAGTTGAAAGGTTTTCGAGTTGATTTTTTTTCGACACGGCACTCAGTTGCACTGGCAGTTTTCACCTTCAAAAAAATCAACAAACCTGTGTCACTTGGGTGTTAAGAACCTAAAGATGTATTTCCCACCTGCAGTTAATACACCATCATAAACAATCATAAACGATCACAAATGATCATAAACCATTACGCTAAGATATTCGAACAGTCAAATAAGGAATTGGAAAAAAAAACAGATATAGTTTCATATTTATCTCTTGTTATTTATCTCGTGTCAACCTCAGATCAATAAATTGTGTTGATGAATTGGCGGTATTCACCCGAGAAAACGTCAAAATATGCTGTGAACATATTTTACCAAGCTCCCCAAACAATCCTGAGGATTATGCTATGTGAACTTGCCAGTAGAAGGTCAAAACATGTTTTTTTAATGGATTCAACCAACTTTGTACAATCAGGTGACCCCTCTGTGTCAGGTGTCGTGCTATGATGGCCACCCACGAGATGTTGAAGAAGGTGGTGCTGGAGGAGCTGAGCAAACGTCCCATTTTCGGAGTGTAGGGGGATATCATGTCACATCATTTCTATGAATCTCATTGAATATACCCTCTGGTAAACAAACATAGCTATTGAAAATGACCAGTTATAGTGGATTTTCCCATTAAAAACTGTGATTTTCTATAGTTATGTTAGTTTACCAGAGGGTAGACACGTTTTCCCCACCTGCCGGCTTTCTGGATTTTAAGAAAGGCTCCACTGCAACTCCTTCTCCTCGCTTTCCTCCTCCTCCTCCTCTCCTGCTTCCTCTCCTCCTTCCTCGCCTTCTTCTTCGCCATGCCTGTTTCTCTGCCAGCTACGGATTCTGTGGGCTGTGCCTGAACCCCCGGTCACATCGCAAGCGACGCTGTGGAGTGGCCCTACACCCGACTCAGGAGGCTGTGAAGTGGCATTGGACCCGAACACGTGCCAGAGAGATTGCCAGAGAGAATGTCAGAATAGATGCCTTGAAATGCCATGGTGGAGATCACTCGAAATAAAGTAATTTTTGGTGTTTCGTTCGACGGGTTTATCCGCGAATATGTTGGAAAACAAAGACATTTACCCATCAGAACTGGTGACTACATCTCCATTCTCCCTGGTTGATACCCCCATCAGAAATGGCTGACCACCATTTTTGTTTTCGAGGTGAAACATCCGCGTCCCTGCTTGAGCATCAAGATTTAACCATTGATGGATGGGACAATAATTTCACATGTTCTAGACCCAACAATATGTTCATGAATTTACAAAGGGATACTAAGTCCCAATGAATGTATAGATACCATATATATATACATATATATACGTATATATATATTATATCCACATATGCATAAATGTTTTAAGTGACGAATCAAACTAGTAGACCAACAATGGCAGGGCTATGCTATGCCCAATAGTTATTCAGAAATGGAGTCTCTCCTCATCTCCTTTGCTGATGAAACTCACTTTTTTTTGATCCATTGCCCATAATTGCTCGCTAATTCTATTGTCTTTGATGGTTCAACCATCATGTTGGTTAAGTCCCAATCATGGGTGTTAAATCCTATGTTGAGACCCCCATCTATTCGAATTGCCATCATATTCTATGGATTGCTCTACTATGTTATCCATTGTGTGTGACTAAAATCATTTTGCTGGGTTCAACCAGAAATTATAGTGGTTTTTCACGTTAAAACCCATTGTGTGGTGGTTAGATCCCACGTTTTTGGTGGTTCAATCCCAACTTTTCATGATGAAGTCTTAACTGTGGATGGTTTAAAGATGTTCAAAGCCGTCATTTTCTCCAGATAAATCACCATGTTTCATAGATTTTCATAGCTAGACCACCATTTTTAATAGCTAAACCACCATTTTTCATAGGTAAATCACCATTTTTCACCATTTTCCACCATTTTTGATAGGTAAATCACCTTTTTCCTCAGTGAAACTCCCCATTTTTGGGGATGAAAACCCACCATCGCCACCACGCCAGGAAGGCAGCGATGAGGTCAGCGGCTCGGTGGCCTTCCACACCAGCGGCGTGCCGTGCCTGTCCTGCGTGGGTGTGGCGGCGCAGTTCAAACGCCACTACCCGCGGATCCGTTCCTCGGGAAAGTGCTGGGAAATCTATGGGAAAACCTATGGAAAATATGGGAAATCGGAAAAGCTATGGGAAAATCTATGGGGAAAATAAGATGTGTAATGAAGGGAAAATCGGAAACCTTTTGGTTTCTTCCGCTCAAATTTAGTGTGGTTTCCTTTTTTCCCCACCTGCCAGGTGAGGGTTGTTAGATTTTATGTCAGTTGCCTCCTCCTGCCTCCTGCCTCGTCCTCCTCCTCCTCCTCTCCTCCTCTCCTCCTCCTCCTCGTCGTCCTCCTCGTCCTCCTCGTCCAACTGCGACCCGCGATCCACAGTGTTCTCTGTCGGACCTCAACCACGACCATCCACGCCCAGTGTTCCCTGCCGGACCTCAACCACGACCATCCACGCCCAGTGTTCCCTGCCGGACCTCAACCACGACCATCCACGCCCAGTGTTCCCTGCCGGACCTCAACCGCGAGTATCCCCGCCCAGTGTTCCCTGCCGGACCTCAACCACGACCATCCACGCCCAGTGTTCCCTGCCGGACCTCAACCGCGAGTATCCACGCCAAAAGATATGCCACATAGAGTGCCAGAAGATATGCCAGAAGATATGCCAGATAGAATGTTAGAAGATATGCCAGATAGAATGCCAGAAGGTATGCCAGATAGAATGCCAGATAGAATGTCAGCTAGAATGCCAGAAGATATGCCAGATAAAGTGCCAGAATGTTTGCCAGATAGAATGCCAGCAGATTTGCCAGATAATATGCCAGAAGATATGCTAGATAGAATGCCAGATGGAATGCCAGAAGATTTGCCAGATAATATGCCAGAAGATATGCCAGATAGAATGCCAGATGGAATGCCAGAAGATATGCCAGAACATATGCCAGAAGATATGCCAGAAGATATGCCAGAACATCTGCCAGAAGATATGCCAGAACATCTGCCAGAAGATATGCCAGGTAGAATGCCAGAAGATATGCCAGATCGAATGCCAGAAAATATGTCAGATAGAATGCCAGAAGATTTGCCAGTAACAAAATGTATACATGTCATGGTGGGGATCACACGAAGTAAAGTAATTTGTGTTTTTTCCTGTTCGAATCCGGTGAAAGATGGCAACCCTGGTCTAAAAAAGGCGAACTGTCATGGAGATATAATGGGAGAATATGCCCTAACTGATAAGTGATATAAGTGGTTGAGATTTCACCCTAGAAACGGGGTCCCAAAAAAAAAACCAACTGGAATGAAGTTTGTTAGAAAGATGGGAAAACATGGCGACAAATTTGGGGAAGATATGGGATGGAAACCACGGTAAATCAGCTTAGAACCAAGAAATGTGGTTTGTTTGGGCGGAAACTTGCTAGAAACCAGTTGTTTTTTATGGTGATATAATGATTTAATGAGGGAATCATGGCATATAACCAGCAAGTATGTTTTGTGGAGTAGAAAACTAAGCATACTGGGGATACACTTGTGATACACTTGTGATACACTGAGAGAGGAGGATTTGGCGGTGCTCAGTCGTCACTGGAGTTTTTTTTATGGTCCAATTGTTGCTCATCCCAGAAGGGAGGTCGGAGCGGTTTTTCGCATCTGATGGGTTAGAATTTGGGGTACCACCAAACAAAAAGAGAAAAGTAGAAGGTTCAGCGAGAGAAATGTGCTACTGCCATATATGTTTGACTTGTGACCCGAGGAGATTAGTGTGAAACTCTGCAATATCGAAATTCAAGTGTTTAAGCTGCAAAACCAACCAACCAACCTTACCTGAGGTTAAATAGTTAGACCATCCGAGACAAGACCATGACTTGGACGCCACACACCTTGTTTATGTTTGATCTGAGAATGCTAGTGAGGATCAACTCCTGATAGTTTACATGATCAAGGTTGGACTTCACATGGTTCAGTGCATCATTGACCTATATACATATATATTAATACATATCATATATATATAGGGTAGATAGATACATAGATAGGTAGATACATATTTTGTTCCCTTAATTACACTTCTATATTTACATTCCCAACTCAGTTCAAAATTTCCTGCTTCAGTTGGCTCCCTGTCATCAGATTCATCAGTGTTAGCTGGGAAAGTTATCGAACTCCATGGAGGACCCTGCTGGGAAAGTCTAATCCCTTCCCATTGAAACAAGGCCCACAAGGCAACGGGAAACCAACGCAGATGCCAAGGTTTCTGTTTCACTTTCATGAACCGGCCCTTGTCGGAGCGTGAAGGTGCTGTGGATGTGGCTGGTTGTGGTTGGTTGTGGGTTACGTGATGCCACCAATAAGATACCGGTATCAATCGGATGAGCAAGTGCTGAAATTATGATAGTTCGTATACTATAAACATACATCATCAATTAACTTTCATGAGCTATATATGATACATGTTGAGCACTATATCTAGTGAATACCCGAATGCTGGTGCACTGAAATACTCCCGAATGGCTGGCTGATGCTGGATGGCTGGCATGTGTGGGTCATTGGCTCCTCACCAGGTCAAACTCTCCTTGATCATCTACAGCAGGGAGTCGTGTTATCGTCACATCAATAGGTCATCACTACGGTCCATCGCTGCCGTTTGATCTGATTTTTGTGCCAGGGAAGCTTAGTGGGTGGAGGTGTAGCACGAGTTTTATATGATTTGATCATATTTTATGAATCAAATGATACCCTCTGGTTATTTAACATAGCCATGGAAGCCATGGCCCATTTATAGAATTTATAGATGATTTTCCTATGAATACCTCCATTTTTAAGGGATTTTCCATGGCTATGTTAGTCACAACCAGATGGTAAGTTGAACGACTCTCCAGCTTCAAGGGATTTTGGGACTACTGCGCAGGTGTGTTGGACGATGCGCCTGTCACTTGACGATCCGTGGAGGAAAAGGCGGCTATCAAGGGGAAAGGTTTTTTACTCAAACCAGGTGGTTGAGCGATGAAGTCGTGAAACAGAAATAAGACCAGTTGATTCCGGTTTGCAGAGAGTTAAGCAGCTAACCAGAAGCCACTGGGTTTACAAAGAACCTGTCTGGATTAGCATCGGCCCATTTCCTCAGTGATCGCATAGCCACCTCCGGTGCCTCCGGTCTTCCAAGTTTTGTACCTGAACTGTCGCAGGACGACCCAAGTTTGCTTGCCTAGTGGCCTAGTTCTCACTACTTGTATTGTATTTGGTGTATTTGGTAATCTCCTGATCAAAGGAAGTTTAGAAGTCAAACTTCCGACAACATGGACACACGAAGCAGTGGAGATGGGAAGAGGCAGAGAAGAGACCAAGTGCACGCCATTGTGGCGCGAAGCTCATTTCCAAGTCAAAATGTTAAAAGCACACCACGTTCGGACCACTTTTGGAGCGTGAGATGTCTAAAAAGTGCACGCTGTCTGGCAGTGTGGCACGAAGCACATTTCGAAGTAAAAGTGTTAAAAATTGATGGTCTCAGACCACTTTTGGACGTTGAGATATCGAAAGTGCACGCAACTACAAGTACTCGTACAACTACAACTACAACGACGAGGACGACGACCACCACAACAACAACAACAACCACAACAACAACCACAACAACAACCACAACAACAACCACAACAACAACCACAACTACTACTACTGCTGCTGCTGCTGCTGCTGCTACTACTGCTACTACTACTCCTCCTCCCCTACTATTACCCCCTCTACTACAACTACAGCTAAGCTACAACTACAACCAAACCTACAACTACACCTAAACTACACTACGACTTCACTACAACTACGCTACGCTACGTTACACCCACATGACGCCTACAACTATAATTTTAACCACAAGTACGACTACACTACAAGTAGAACTACAGTACAACTACAACTACAACTACACTAGACAAGAGATAGACACGCAAAAAGGGGATGAGATAAAGAGGCACAAAGAGAAGGTGACAGCGAGAGTTAGAGAGAGAGGGAGAGAGAGAGAGAGAGATACTCAGAGCCTCAACCTCCTTTCGACCCGTCAGTGGGTTCGCTCTGCCATCCACGCATCACAACAACTCACTTCTCCGATAGTTTCCTATCTTTGTTGTGCGGTACTACTGGTAACGTCTTTGAAAATTGATAAAATGATGTTGATGTTTCCTTTGCCTGTTTTTCGAAGCCAGCAGATAAAATGGTCAGCCGTGTGTGGGCAGGACTCATCCCTCACTTTCAGTTGAGCCTTTATCATATATTGCAATGTGTGTGTGTTGGTCATATCATGACGTATCCTGTCATGTCCCAATTATATAAATAGCTAATTTAAGCTGAGATGGCTGAGTATATGTTCATTCTGCTGAAAAATCACAATGGTGGCTGTTTTTTCCACCCATATCAATTTGGGTGGTTTATACTAGTCAGTTTTCCTATGTTTGGGCAGGGGATGAATAATAGTGATTCAATGGGATATTAATGAATTATTAATGGGATATACCATCCCCATGGGGGTATTAATGGGATATTAATGGGATATTATTGGGATACCCTCTGGTAAACTAACGTAGCTATGGAAAATCACCATTTTGTAGCTGGGAAAACTCACTATTTCTATGGCCATTTTCAATAGCAAACTGTTAGTCATTACCAGAGGGTATATCCATCAATATCCCAGTATTGTCCCATCATTATCCCAGCAAATCATCCCTATAAAACCATATTAAACCAGATGGGATATTAATGGGATATCAATATTAATGATTTCATGGCCCATCCCCATCTCCAAGGCCATGGAGCCCTCCATGTTCTCCATGGCTCCCAAGACGCCGCGGAGGCAGGCAGCCTAGGGGATCGACAAAAATCACCACCAAATCACGACCCTCCATCCCCCTATGGCTAATTCAATGGGATTTTATAGTGATTCAATGGGATTTTATAGTGATTCAATGGGATTAATAGTGATTCAATGGGATATTAATGGGATATACCATCAGCTTATGACTAACATAGCCATGGAAAATCACCTTTTTTTAATAGGAAAATCCACTATAAATGGGCCATCGATACCATGGCTATGTTAAATAACCAGAGGGTATCATGGATAAATGGTGGATATAGGGTTTACTATTGGGTTCTGATTGGGTTTATTATGAAGTTCGTATTATTTGGATTTGTTGGATGTTCTATGGTTTTGTAAATTATAAACTGGTGTGGTGTAAAGGTCGGTGGTTAATATCGGGAAATTTGAAGATAGCTAGGGCTAGGGGTTCTACTGTGTTCTACGAACATAGTCATGCTGAACCGGGAAGCCTTTGTTGCTTTGGGATATCGCCATTTTTTTGTATCATGAACGACTTGTGAACTGCTTGGTGGTTTCTCTTCGTCATTTTCAACCATACCATTCTGGCGATGATCCCAATGGGATTTCATATACTTGGGGGGAAAGATGGGTGAATGACTGGAAATAAGAGGCTCAAGATTTCACGGTAGTTAGTAGTTTTTCAGGATGCTTGCCTCGGAGGTCTGACAGATGTTCGGACAACGAAATTCATGTCGAGCACCCTGAATGTGGGTTTGTCTCAGAATGGGTACCCCAAATCCGTGGGTTAATCATCATCATCATCATCATCATCATCATCATCGTTATCATCATCATCATCATCATCATCATCATCATCATCATCATCATCATCATCATCATCATCATCACCCTCTGGTAATTTAACATAGCTATGGAAATCACCATTTTTAATGGGTAAATCCACTATAAATGGGAATTTTCAATAGCTATGTTAAATTACCAGAGGGTACCATCATCATCATCATCATCATCATCATCATCATCATCACCATCACCATCATCACCATCATCACCATCATCATCATCATCACCCTCTGGTAATTTAACATAGCTATGGAAAATCACCATTTTTAATTGGTAAATCCACTATAAATGGCCATTTTCAATAGCTATGTTAAATTACCAGAGGGTATCATCATCATTATCATCATTATCATCATCATCATTATCATCATCATCATTATCATCATAAACCATCATTATCATCATCATTATCCCCAATAGAAATGGAGTCGGTGAAGTTGATAGAGTTGGGGCGGCACAACTGACTGTGATCCACTGTGATCCACTGATCCACGGTGCCAAGTTCACCAGCCCAGCAGGGTTTCATTTGTATCTTCTGCCCACATGTCTAGGAGTTCCCAGTTGTAGTTTTCTGATACTAGAAACTCATCTAATGTTGATAAAACAAATGCCCAAAATCATTATAAATGATATAAATGGGTGTTATAACCATCAAAATATGGGTGGTTTATGACATTTTATTTTTTTTAACTAACATTATTAATTATACATGTTGACATCTCATGACATATCTATATTCCAGCACCTGTTACTGAGTTCAGATTGCCGTGGAGACGCTGCAGGAACGACAGCGCTGCAGCCCCGCGGAACAACGGTGCATCGCAAGGCTGCCAAGGGGATGAAACCAGCTCAGTCAAGGTTTTTTTGGGGTAGCACAAGTAGGAATAGACATTTTTGCAACAATTTAAGCGACATTTTTTGCAGCAGAAATATGAGAAACTGGAGATTGTATGAGATTGTCATATTGTAATTGGGATCCACTTAGGCTCGTCCGTTCTCATCGTGGCGAAAGAACCTATTGAACTGCAGGTGGAGCTTGGGACAAGTACAACCCTGGATACAGGCAAGGGCGGCAAGGGGATGCTGATCGAAACGGGAGTGCTTCAAAATGATTCAAAATCGGGATGGTCATTTTGACAGAAGGACACACCCATCACCATCTGATTTTTTGGAGGCCTTCATCCATCTTCATCTCTAGTTGTACACATAGCATGATAACGTGCACCGTACAAAATTGGGGCCCCCAGCATGACAGAACCTGGGAAAAAAACCTCTAGTGTTTTGTGAACGGTTTCTAACCATGTTTGTTTGACATATAACATATATATATATACATATTTATTCATATGTTTATTTATTTATTTGTTTGATTGATTGTTTACTTACAGTATATCAGATTATACCAGCTGGGATGCACATCCAAGGTAAATAGTCACCAAGGGCGAGTTCCTCTGACAGCTAGCGGAGGCCGCGAAGGCAGAGATTCGACAGCCGACCCAAAACATGCACTGTACCAGATACTCTCTGGTAAATTGGATGGGAAATTGGATGGTAAATTGGATGGTTGATAATGGTTAATAGTGGTTAATAGTGGTTAATGGTGGTTAATGGTGGTTAATGGATATTACTATCCTTTGGTAAATTAACTTGTTGACCCTGAAAATAGCCTAGTTTTAATGGAAACTAATCTTCCAACCCCGATGACTGCCAGGGTCTATGTTAATTTACCAGAGGGTAAATCGGATGTGAAACCAACCACAATGATAATTGGATATAGACGCGATAAAGGATAGGTTTTACATGGTTTTACGATGTTTTTCTCCATTTATGTGGTAGGTGTCTTCCAACCATATTCCATTATATGGAGATGATTGATGTTGGGATAAATGGGATGTAAAAACAACCATGATGATTCACAATGGTGTTTTGTTGTCTTATCCATGGCGTGAATTACCAAGTCTTTGGGGGGCGCAGTTGTGGGTGTTTTAGGGCCAAAAAAAAGAACGGCAGCCTCCATAAGTTGGGATGAAGAAAACCCTATCCCATGGTTTTATATACCCTCTGGTAAACTAACATAGCTATTGAAAATTGCCATTTATAGTGGATTTTCCCATTAAAAATGGTGGATCTTTCCATAGCTATGTGGATGTTTACCAGAGGGTATCCACTCAAAACTGGAACTGCGCCTGAAGGGATAGCAGAACCACAAAAGGGGGAAATGCCTACCCAACAACCATGGACCAGACCTGGTAAACATACAAAAAGCTATTGAAAATGGTGATTTATAGTGGATTTACCCATTAAAAATGGTGATTTTCCATAGCTATGTTAGTTTACCAGAGGGTAATGTGGTATATTAAAGAGACACCCATCCCCAGTTGACACAAGTGTTTTCTATCCGTATCATTATGAACCATATACAATGAACAAGGAACCATCCGGAGGATGTTGGTTTTTTTTCTCCTGTTTTGGGTTTTACCGTTTTGAAATTATGAACATTGGGTGTTGATATGAACCATACTTTGGGTTTGCCACATGTCATTCCTCCTAAACCCAGCGGCGCCAGGGGCACAAGTACTGGCTTTCCGTGTCGCGGGAATTGTGGAGGAAAAAGGCATCGGGCACCAAACATTGGACAGTTTTGGACACGAGTGACACGAACTTCATGACTTAATGATTGTGTACTTTCAGCCATTTTCAGCCCATCCAAAAGGAGTTTTTTCGGTTGGGGCAAATGGTAGGACTAGGAAGCATTGATCCCATGTCTGATGAGTGGCTCAACCAGAAACCCGTGGCTCACAGGGGACCAAAACAATGGTGTTTCACTGGGCCTCGCATGCTTGGTTTTGGTAGGTTTTGGGTAGGTCGATTTTGTGCCGCCTTAGGAATCATATGGAATCATCACAGAAAAATGTATATCGAAGCCATGAAGTGATCAATCAGGTTTCCAATGTGTGGTCCGGGCTTTTCTAAATCATTCACCCCTGATCATCCAAAAAACGCGCAATAGTATTCATTCATCAGCGCACCAGTGATGAGCAGCTACGTGGCGGAATGCTGTTTTGCTCCCGCCTTTTGTTCATTATGGAATACTATTCAATTCTTCAGAAAGCCTTGAAATTATACCCAACTCCCAGTTCCATTGGAAGGTGACAGCACTGAAAAAACGGGTCCTCCAAACGCTTTCGTGTCCTCACCATCTCGGCAACAGCTGAAGCCGCGACTGTCAGATAGCAGAAAAAGCGGCGACTTTAATAATTTAACATCAAGAAGTCTTCAAGAAACATAAGAAAGTGATCCAACAATGCCAACAATTTGGATGAGATTTTTGAGTGTCGAATGGCTGAATTTCCTAACCAATGTCGAATGTTTTATGGTGTCACATCAAGTCACATCCTCCCGGCGGACACTTTTCGTCGGGAATTCCCTAAAGAATATCATCAGGTAGGCTCGAACGACCGAAACCTCCCAGATACTTGTCATTGTTTGGAAGAATCTCTGTATCCAAAGATAGGAAGATACTCCTTCATGACCTGTATACCCTCAGAATTCTTGGAATTGTAACGCGAGTGTCGCAATGGGGCAGAGCGGATGCAAGAGTTGTGTGGAGGGATGCCTCCCCACCTCTTGGCGCATGCAGCAATACCACAGCCACTGGCCGTGGTGATGGTTTCATCCTGGGGTAAGGGTCATTGGGGAAGAAAACGATGGCTTCCCTTATCATATCAACCATGCGGTTTGGCCACAATTTGTGATGTGAAAGAAAAACATGGCTTACCCTGAGCATCTAACCTGAGGAAAGACGATTTACCGAAGGTTTCAAGGCTTCAAGCTTCCCATGAATAGCTCAGCGAATGGTTCACTGGATCCAAGGAAATCCGTGGGAATATTCAAAATGCATGCGAACTACAGATTAAAATCCTAGGTTTGGGATACTTCGGGGATGAATATTCAGATTACATTTCCCATGTTTGGGGATGGGAAACGAAGAATGTCCAACTTGTGTAAGTGCTAAAGCTTGTCGACGGAAATGCACAAGAGATGCACAAGAGATCAACCCGCTGATTGCTGATTCATGAGCAAATCACCATCTTCGTTATATTCAAGGCTCTTGATTACGCACCCTTGCCTACCCATAGTCACATTTTCCTAGCTGGTTGGATTTGATTTAGTCTAGCCAGCTCGAACTCAGGTCAGCGCGAGGAGTTCGAAAACCGTGTGGCCTGGCGTTTGACATCCGAAGTTCGATTCGAACCTCCTGTGCCGCGCAAAATACCCGAAATTCCCATGGGTTTACCAAAAAAAACGCCATTCAAGGCGACATGTTCCCCATGTATAGACCAAAAGATGTGGTTTTGAGGAAGATATCACCAGTCATGACGTCAAGGGATGGAAAGCTGCAAAGTCCACATCGCCCGTGGCAACGTGTTTCTCGATAACAATGCATCATCAATAATTCTTGGGTGTTTTGTGATTGATTTCCTGATGAGACATGGTTTTTTTTTATTGTGAAGAGCCGAAGAGCATTGCTGTTTGGCCAGAGCTATGTGTCATGTTGCGCTCAGTGCTGCCAAGATGTGCCGAGGTAAAGTTCTTGGAAACCGTACCGTTGTTGGCCAACCAACTGCCACGTGCTGATTTACCCACTTTAGCAGCTGCATTGGTGGAGAAGAGGTCGCAGTCTTGGCACATGATGGAGAGATACAGATGCAGTTTTTCATCGCACGGGAAGGTAGAAATATGTAGAAATTGCAGCTTTACGGAATATACCACATTACCCTCTGGTAAACTAACATAGCTATTGAAAATCACTATCTTTAATAGGTAAATCAAATATAAATGGACCATTTTCCATAGCTATGTTAAATTACCAGAGGGTACTGTACAGTTACGGAAATGACGCACTCTTTTTCGCTGGACAATTCAAGCAGAATGGGCCCACAATCTACACAAGATGGAAAGCATTATGCATTGGTGAACGTGGTACTTCAATTTGTTGGCAGAGCACTGGCATGACCAAAAGCTATGAACAATCAACGTCAACCTCCCAAAGTGGGTGATGTTTCACACGCCTTAGAGAGATTTGTTCAGCTTCGTTTCTGAAATTCCCTCCATTTGGGCGCGATTTTTGGCCGGATCTTCGCTGTTATTCGTTCATTTACTTCGCTTTCGTACGTCATTCTCCCTGATGAATCACAACGTGTCTCATCGTTTTGCTGCTTCACCCCTCCACCGGTTTCCATTTTTCAACCAAAAAAACAAGCCCTATTCCACTACCCTACCATCAGGCCATCTTCCACCGGGTCCCTTTTTGGTTTTCCGCCAGGTTCCGGCCCGGAGAGTCCCTCGCGCGGCAGGGCGCTGTGGGCCGTGAGCTGAACATCGTGAAGAGCGGCACCTGCGCCGTGCTGCGAAAAACAGGCCGTGGATTTCGGTGGATCATCCCACGACTGATGAAAAAACCAGTGATGTTTGTTGGTTTATAAGAAGCCCCAGGAAAATTTATTTCATAAACTATAGTTATAAAATGTTATAAATATATCATAAACCAGAGTTATAAAGGACTTTTTTTAACTGGCAGCCAGAAAAGATGTGATGAAAACACCACTTTTTGTGGGGTGAAACCGGAAAGGATGGATCTTTAAACCAGCCATTTGATGTGCGAAAAACGCAACCGTCATTTTTTGGTCCGTTTGGATGAAAGAAACATCAACAAAATATGGATTTCACCGGAAAAATGAGGAAAATTTGGGCTGGATGTTTGCATGTATTTCAATGTATCATATCATGTTTGAGGTTCATTTGTTTCATGGCATGGTACTTAAAATCAATTCCCAAAAAAATCCATTCCGGCGGGAAAATATTTCAAATGAATGCCCTTACAATGTCCTAAAGATCCATTCCGCCGGATTTCCATGGATTTCCCGTATAATATATAATTTATTTATTTATGTATATATATATTAACCCCATTAACTATCCCATAAGAATCATCCCAGAATCATTTCATGATTAGCCTGTTTATGATTCCAAGATTCCGACACGGAGTCAGGTGACGGTCCGAAGGATAGCACCGGTGCTCCGAAGGACGACGAGGAGGACGTGGCTGACCAAACGGGTCGCTGCAATGTGGCGATTCTAGCGTTGCCCATAGCGCTGAGCTGTTGGATGAGTGAAATTGTGGTTTCGCTGTGGACCGAAGTCTTCACTACCTGTAATGTGATGCCAAATACCAATCAAACATGGCAAGTGGAAACCTCATTTGAATGGACATTTGCATGGGAACATCGAACTCAATGGCGGATGGTCTAGTCAGTCATGTTTGATTTCCAGAAGGTAAACAATAGGGAGGGTGCTGTTAACATTTGTCAACCAATGCAAGGCCTTTGCCTTTGCTATATCATTCTTGTTCATTCAACAGATCTTCCAAACCCATTTGGCGCTGAAAAATGTCAAAAAACATTGAAAACATTTGTCAAACGTGTGGTTATTCACAATAAATCGAACAGAGATCTAAATAATCATCCAACAGAGGGTAAATCCCATTAATATCCCATTAAATCCCATTAAATCACCATTTTCCTATGGTTTTCCTATGGTTTTCCTATGGTTTTCCTATGGTTTACCATCCAACTAATCCAACAAATTTTCTCCCATAGCCAGGAGCAGCGCATCGCCACACTGCGCACGGGTGACTGGAGCGGCGGCCAAGCATTGGTGCCTTGGACGCCTTGGAGGACGCCTTGGACGGACGACGGTGGTTACGTTGACCCTGCAACGGTGTGGCCACGTTGAATGGTGGTTTTAAGGGGGTTTAAGGGGATTTTATGGTGATGTTATGGTGATTTAATGGGATTTAATGGGGGTTTAAGGGGGTTTAGGGGGTTTAAGGGGGCAACTTCAAGCATAATTTAGTGACTTCATGGTGATGAAAAATGAACCAGAATGGCAGTTTGATGTGATTTAATGGTGGTTTAAGCAACAATAATGATGTTTCAATTAGGTTTAATGGTATTTGTTTGTGATTGAATTGGATTTAGTGATGATTTAACCAACCGTAATGATGATTTAATGGGATTGCGCGCTGGTTTAACCAACCGCCATGATGATTTGATTGATGGTAGTTTCATGGGATTTATTGCTGTATTGAACCAACGATAAGGGTCCCATTGAATTGGATTTCGTGCTGATTTCATCAACCACAATAGGTATTTTCTATTGTTTTCTGATGGGTTTTCTGGGATTTCATGATTGTTTAACCAACGGTAGGGGTGATGCAGCGCAGCAATGATTTAACCATCATGATTTGATCGTGCCGTAATGAATCCAACGACGAACAAAATGATTGGACTTGGACAAACGGACAAACGGGGCTGATTTAGCCATCCATAGTGGTGATTATTGTGGGAAGTTTTCATGTTGATTTCTGGTTGGTGGTTTCAAACATGAATTTTATTTTCCATCATATATGGGATGTCATCCTTCCCATTGACTCATATTTTTCAGAGGGGTAGGTCAACCACCAACCAGATTTGATGGTGGTTTAACAATGGATTCAATGGTGATTTAACAAAAGATACCTGTGGATTCCCAGGCAAAAACCCTGGTTGATCATTACACTTTATAACTATAGATGACCATGGAAAACTAATATATAAACATATGTAATTCAAC